CACCGTCCACGCTCACTGCTCCCCCCTGCACCGTCCATGTCCACTGCTCCCCCTGCACCGTCCACGCCCACTGCTCCCCCAGCACCGTCCACGCCCACTGCTCCCCCAGCACCGTCCACGCCCACTGCTCCCCCAGCACCGTCCACGCCCACTGCTCCCCCAGCACTGTCCACGCCCACTGCTCCCCCCTGCACCTTCCACACCCACTGCTCCCCCTGCACCGTCCACACCCACTGCTCCCCCCTGCACTGTCCACGCCCACTGCTCCCCCCTGCACCGTCCACACCCACTGCTCCCCCCTGCACTGTCCACGCCCACTGCTCCCCCTGCACCGTCCACGCCCACTGCTCCCCCTGCACCGTCCACACCCACTCCCCCCTGCACTGTCCACGCCCACTCCCCCATGCACCGTCCATGTCCACTGCTTCCCCCAGCACCGTCCACACCCACTGCTCCCCCCTGCACCGTCCACACCCACTCCCCCCTGCACCGTCCATGTCCACTGCTTCCCCCAGCACCGTCCACGAGCACTGCTCCCCCCTGCACCGTTCACGCCCACTGATCCCCCTGCACTGTCCACGCCCACTGCTCCCCCCTGCACCGTCCACGCCCACTGCTCCCCACAGCACTGTCCACACCCACTGCTCCCCCCTGCACCGTCCACACCCACTCCCCCCTGCACCGTCCACACCCACTGCTCCCCCCTGCACCGTCCACGAGCACTGCTCCCCCCTGCACCGTCCACGCCCACTGCTCCCCCCTGCACTGTCCACGCCCACTGCTCCCCCTGCACTGTCCACGCCCACTGCTCCCCCACCTCCCCGGGCTGCGGCTCACAGCGCTGCTGACTGGGGCTCCCTGGCCTTTACCTGGGCTCTGGGGCCGCCTCCACCCCGTCCCCCGCTACAGGGCAGGGCGGAGGCCTGCTGCCTCCTGTACACAGGCCCGAGCCTGGCCACGGCCTGGCCCAGCACACATTCCACCAGTTCTTTCGGCACAACCAGAGGAAGCTGCTGTGGCCGCTTCACCGAGAGCCCCTGTCTGGCTCAGCACTCACACCGCAGCAAAGCCACGCCCCCAGCGCACGTTCCAGCCTGGGACAGGGCTGCGGCCCGCACTCAGCATCACCCCGCCCGCTCGTCCAGCGTCCGACAGGGGCCGCTCTCAGTCCTTGCCCACGAGCACCTGTGGGGTCAGGCCTGGGCCAGGCAGCCCGGCTCACCTCCTGGGGGTTGTGGGAGGGCTCCCGGGAGGGTGTCCAGAGATCAGGTGACCAGGTCCCAGTGGCAGCAGGGATGGGGCCTCACCAAGGAGGGGGAGGGGCCTGAGCAAGGTCTGGGGGCTGAGGGATTGCCACAGGCAGGGTGCAGGCCCCGGGAGGGCAGAGTGGGGCAGGCAGGAGAGTGGGGGCCGCTCTGGGCAGACCTGGGGTGGCCGGAGGAGGGGCCTGGGTGCAGGCTGCTGTGATGCGACCTGGGTGGCCAGGCGAGCTGGGGCTGTGGAGGGGGGGCTGGGGTGACCCAGCAAGTGCGGGCAGAACTGCACCCCCTGGGGTGAGGGAGGTGGGAGGGAGGAAGCTGGGAAAAGGGGGTTGGGCTCAGGACAGGGGTGAGGTCAGGTCAGCAGGGCTTAGCCAGGCCCTCGTCCCACAAGAGGTGGAGAGGGTGAGCCTGTGAGCCCATGGCGGGGTCAGATGGCCATGGGAGAGGACGCTGGCAGCTCTGACAGCGGTCGTGCGAGTGGGGGAGGGCGGGCGTCCGTGCAGGGGCTGGGTGAGAACAGATCCCGTTACCCAGCAGTGCTGGCCAGCGCGGCCTGCCTCACCACGTACGCGACTCAAACGTAGCACAGCCCAAACCTAACAGGAGCTCTAGGAGCTAGGAGCTCTCAGAGGAACACACAGATAAAAGCCACAAACGCGTAACCAAAGAGACAAAAACCGCACGACTTGTGCTGCCAACAATACCACCGTGGAAGTGAGGAAGCGGCCCACAGGCGGCCCACAGTGGGGAGGACATCTGTGTCCCCCGCCCAGACCTGGCGACCCGGCAGCTGCCCAAGCCCCGCCCTGGTCAGCAAGGACCCACGGCCCTCCCTGCATGGCCTCTCACCCAGGGACACACACGGCCTCTGCTCTCTGCAACAGCTCCCGCCCAGCAGCCTCCACACTGCCCAGCGTCTCTCCCCGTGCTCACTCGTCACGGGGACGCAAGCTCCCGACAGCCACCGGGGCAGTGAGGCCGCACCTGCAGTGCCTGGATGGCGTTGTGGTAGCAGCTGAGCTCGCCGTGCACGTTCTTGGAGTTCTGGGCCAGGCGGTGCCACATGTGCGCCAAGTAGTCCTCGCTCTCATCCTTGAATTTCTGCATCTCCATGGTAAAGTTCTGGCCGAGTTTGGCTTTCACGATGACCATGTGCTTGAAGATCAACCTAAAGAACAGCAAAAGAGCAATCGGTGCTGGAGGCGGGGGACAGAGAGCATGCGGCCCCCTCCCCGCCAGAGTCCAGGGCCAACCCTAACCCTAACCCTAACCCCAACCCCAACCCTAACTCTAAACCCTAATCCTAACCCTAACCCCAACCCCAACCCTAAACCCTAACCCTAACTCTAACCCTAACTCTAAACCCTAATCCTAACCCTAACCCTAACCCTACCCCTAAACCCTAACTCTAACCCTAACTCTAAACCCTAATCCTAACCCTAACCCTAACCCTACCCCTAAACCCTAACTCTAACCCTAACTCTAAACCCTAATCCTAACCCTAAACCCTAACCCTAACCCCAACCCCAACCCCAACCCTAAACCCTAACCCTAACTCTAAACCCTAATCCTAACCCTAACCCCAACCCCAAACCTAAACCCTAACCCTAAACCCTAATCCTAACCCTAAACCCTAACCCTAACCCCAACCCCAACCCCAACCCTAACCCTAAACCCTAACCCTAACCCTAACCCTAAACCCTAATCCTAACCCTAAACCCTAACCCTAACCCCAACCCCAACCCTAACCCTAACTCTAAACCCTAATCCCAATCCTAAACCCTAACTATAACCCTAACCCCTAAACTCTAAGCCTAACCCTAACCATAACCCTAACCCCTAACCCTAACCCATAAACCCTAGCCTAACCCTAAACCCTAACCAAACCCTCACCCTAAACCCTAACCTTAACCCCTAATACCCTAACCCCTGCCTAACCCCTAAACCCTAACCCTAACCCTTAAACCTACCCCTAACCCCTAACCCCTAACCCCTAAACCCTAACCCTACCCTTAAACCCAAAACCCTAACCCTAACCCTAAACCCCAACCCCAACTCCAACCTCAACTTTTGCTCTCCTGTGGGGTCTCTGAGGAGATCAAGTGTCCAGTGGACCCGGGGTAGGAGAAGCTGGCTGGGGGCAGTGCCCGGCGCGGGGCACTCACAGGCGGTGGGCCGTCCGTGGCAGCACCTGTATGGCCTCGTCCAGCACCCTGAGGCCGCCCTCCCAGTCGCCCTGGTCCGCGTGGCAGTGGAACAGCAGGCCGTAGAGTGCCACGCGGAGCGAGAGGTCATCCTCGGCGCCTGCAGGAAGAGGGGCACAGCCCGCAGGCCCAGGGTAGGGGGTCCGGCCCCTAGCACTTGGCCCCCAAGTCCCTGGCCCCCCGGTCCCCCAGTCACCCACTCCAGCCCCACCCCCGGCCCCCAGCCCCCTGGTGCCCCGCCCCAGCCCCGGCCCTGGCCCCAGGTTCCCGGCCCCCTACCCCCCGGCCCCCCGCCTGCATTCTGCCACCGGCCCCTGCGAGCCGCAGCCCTGTGCCCCGGGGGTCTCTGCCACTCGCCCTCTCTGCCCAGGCCGGGTCTCACCGGCGACCCGAGTCTCCTCGGGCTACTGTCCTCCAATGTCCCTACGTTTTGCACCAGTGGGAAGATTTAAATTTCTGTGCCTCTTTCCACAAAATATCTGCCATACGCCATTCTGCTTTCTGTCGTGATAACGAACATGAATTTTAAAGCCACGCGACCGTCCCCACGCCCGTGCTGGCTTCACTGCAGGGAGGCGACCGGGCGCCCTGTGGCCCTGTGCAGAAGCAGGGCCAGGGCTCGGCCCTCGGTGTCCTCACAGGGTCCTCACGCAGGGCAGGGGCTCGACCCTCGGGGGTCCTCACGCCGGGGCCAGGCTCGGCCCTCGGGGGTCCTCACGCGGGCTGCCCCACTGCACGCCCAGCTCCACGTCTCAGGGCCCCCAGCACAGCCCCCGCTCACCTCCCAGACCACGCTGGGCTCCCACATGAGCAGGGACGGTGATGTCCTAGAGGATTATGGTTTCCCTGGCAACGTAAACTAGTGCGAGAGCACCTCCTGTTGTTGGAGGGCCAGAGCGTCCTGGTGTTGGTGTGTGGTGTGCGTGTCTGCATGTATGATGTGTGTCTGCGTGTGGGGGGTATGTGCATGTGTGTGTGTGATGCGTGTGTGATGTATCTGCGTGTGTGTGGTGTGCGTGTCTGTGTGTGATACAAGTGTGTGATGTGTCTCTGTGTGTGATGCATGTGTGTGATGCGTGTGTCTATGTGTGTGATGTGTGTCTGTGTGTGATGTGTGTCTGTGTCTGTGCGTGATGCATGTGATGTATCTGTGTCTGTGTGTGAAGCATGTATGTGACATGTCTGTGTGTGATGTGTGTGTCTGGGTGTCTGTGTGTGATGCGTGTGTCTGTGTGTGATGCGTGTCTGTGTCTGTGTGTGATGCATGTGATGTATCTGTGTCTGTGTGTGATGCATGTATGTGACATGTCTGTGTGTGATGCGTGTGTCTGGGTGTCTGTGTGTGATGCGTGTGTCTGTGTGTGATGCGTGTGTCTGTGTGTCTGAAAGGCTCTGTCTCCACACTTCATGGAAGTACAGAACTCAGATTTATCTGTTGGTCAGACCAAGCTGCAGCCACCGTGCTGGCCTGGGCGAGGCCGCAGCTCCCATGTGCACACGAGGAAGTCACCGCTTCGTCCCATGGGGCCTGCGAGGATCGTCACAGCTACAGTGGCTTAGCGGGAGGCACAGGAACTTCGAGGCACCAGAGTCCAGATGGCACCCAAGCCCCCACCCCATCCCTGTGCTCTGCAGCCCCTGGGTCCCAGGCCCCGGCACACACCTGGGAGGAAGCTGCCCTCGGGGGTCCCGCCGACCTGGAAGTCTGCCGTGGGCCACTGGTGCAAAAGCAGCGTCTTGCCCTTCTCCTAAGTAAAACAGTCAGCAGCTCAGTGCAGGAGCCGCGACCCGCTCCATGCCGCGTGCTTGCCTGTGCCTGTCAGGGGGCAGGGGACTGCAGCGAGAGCTCTGAGACAGGAAGGCACACACATGACATACAACACATGCGTGACACACCACACAAAACACACGAGACCACACAGACCACACACGTGACCACATACACACCACACAAACACATGCAACAGCACATATTGTGCAACACATGTGACACACCACACAAAACACACGAGACCACACACGTGACCACATACACACTACACAAACACACACAACAGCACATATTGTGCAACACATGTGACATGCCACACATGTGACACATAACACACGTGACCACACACACCACACACATGACCACATACACACCACACACAACACACATTGTGCAACATATGCGACATGACACACATGTGACACATAACACATGTGTGATGCAGTCACACACAACACACGTGACCACACAACACACGTGACCATGCATTCATGTGATGCGCCATACATGCACGACACACATCACACCCCCACCAACATATGACCATACACATACAGATCACACACACACACCCCACACAATACCACACACACACAACCACATGCATTACCATAAACACATGCCAGACACCCACAAACACATTATACACATACCATATGCACACACGACACACACACACACGTAACACACCTCACCACACACACAGCACACGTGCAGGCAGGTGATTGCCCCCTGTAACCCATGGTCTCTTCAGTGACACGAAACATCCAAGCCAGTTTTCTTGGCTCAAAATCAGTGGGAACAAAAGCACCCTGGAAATGCATGGGTCAAAGCTGGTGCCGTAGCGTAGCAGGTAAAGCCGCCGCCTGCAGTGCTGGCACCCCATAAGGGTGTGGGTTCGCGTCTTGGCTGCTCCACTTCCGATCCAGCTCCCTGCTATGGCCTGGGAAAGCAGTGGAAGGTGGCCCAAGTGCTTGGGCCCCTGCACCCACGTGGGAGACCTGGAGGAAGCTCCTGGCTCCTGGCTTTGGATCGGTGCAGCTCCAGCCATTGCGGCCATCTGGGGAGTGAACCAGCAGATGGAAGACCTCTCTCTCTCTGTCTCTCTCTCTCTCTCCGTCCCTCCCTCCCTCTCCCTCCCTCCCTGTCTGTAACTCTGTCTCCCAAGTAAATAAACGAAATCTTAAACTGGGTCGCGGTGGGAGCAGCTCTCCAACTCCAGAAATGAGAGAAAAACGAGCTACAGCAGAACCAGCAGACGGTGGGGAACGACAAGCCTTAGAGCAGAGAAACAAGACTGTTGTTCAAAAGTTGGTGCTTTGGAAACAAGGACAAAATTGACACAACTGACCAAGAAACAGAGCTGCCTCACAGCATGAGTGGGGGGGGGACCGCCGAGCGCCTGAGCCCAGCCGCACCCGGCAGGCGGCGGGAGGCCGAGAAGGGCTGGCGTGAATCCCAGCAAACACTCAGCAACCCCTGAACTCTCCCAAAACCTCAACACACAGAAACCTGCATGAAGACGCCACCACGAAAGCACAACCCCGGCCCACCCCAGACATTGGGCGCAAACCCAGCCGTCTGAACAAGATGGCGCATCGGGACCCCCGGAGCGCAGGGAGGGCCCGACCCGTGGTCGTCTCACGACAGAACCCAGAGGACCAGGAATGGGCGGGAAATCCCCGAGCACCACAGGGGTCCTTAAGAAGAGGCCACGGCTGACACGGTCCCTCCAAGACCACCATAGAGACAGGGGCGCCGCCCCCACGCCACGCTGATGAGACCCCACAGAACCAGGAAGGGAGGGGAGCGCGAGGCGGGCGGTCTCCTTCCTGTCCGCAGAAAACCCCAAGGGGGCTACGGGACAGGCTCCACACTCGGCAGCAGAGTCACCCAGACGCCAGGGGCTGCTCTGATGACGCAAAGTGGAGGTTCTGACAGGGGCCTGTGGGAATTAAGTGGGTGCTCCTGGGGGAGGCCCACACCAGCCCTGAGACCCCCCCCTCCCGAACAGCCCTGTGGGGGTCTCTGTCCCCTCGGGAATCTCGCACAAGACCCATCAGATGCAGCAGAGACCCAGGAAGCCCAGCCCCCAGCCCCCGGCACCTGCGTCTTGGCCTCTGTCTTGTTGATGAGGCTGATGACCCTCTGGACGGTGCCCTTGGCCTTCTTCCTGCTGACCACCGAGGACAGGAACGGCAGCCAGGCGTTCCAGTACTGCCGCGCGGCCAGCATCACCAGGGCGCTGTTGCCCGCGATGCTCCCGAACCTGAACAGAGACCCCGAGCAGAGGGATGCGGACGGCACCTGCTCGGCCCCGGAGGCTTCCACTCAGCAGGAAGGCTGGGCCCTCTGCAGCGCGCTCGCCCCTCTAGGGGGCTGGTGCTGGCCCCGGCCCTGCCGCCGTAGGCAGTGGGTGCTTCGCTGCCACGGGCCGGCCAGCCACCTGCCCTGCCTGCCCCTCTCCGGGCCTCTGGCCTTACTGAGCTTCTCCCAGTTCTGCCCATGCGCCTCTGTCCCCAGTCGGCTGCCCGGGGGTCCCCCAGGAGCCAGCCAGGCTCCCCAGGGCCCCTGCACACCTGGCGCTCTCCATGAAGGCCTTGGCCGCCACCAGGCGCAGCTGCTTCCTGCCCTTCAGGTTCTCCATGATGCTCCTGCCCTGGACGCCCGCCGCCGTGCTCAGCATCTCCGCCGTCAGCCGGGCCTCGACCCTGGCAGGCAAGAGCGACCCAGGAGGGTGGCATCTCAGTGCCTCGCCCAGACTCCCAGGCCGCGACGCTCACCTGGTGAAGGGCAGCCCGAGGACCACTGCCAGGGCTCCCCAGGACACGGTAGCGGACTGAGGCCACGCTGTGGGGCGCTGCCCTTGCGAAGACCCTACGCCAGAACTAAGTGGCTGGACCCCGCCAACCCCAGACCCATGAGACAGACCCTGGGTCCAGGGTGCCTCGCTTCCAGCCACGGCAGAGCAAGCCCCTCTTTGGGGGACCCCTGCTCTCGGCGGCCATCTTGTCTGGGAAGGTCCCAGCGTGGGCTCAGGGCGCTGCCTCCGTGTGGCTGCGGCTGGAGCAGAAGGGGCACAGGCTGAGGTCAGGACAGCCCTGGGTCCTGGGTCCCACCTGGGTCCCACACGGGCCCGGGTGCCGGGGCAGACGGCGGTGCCTGCCTCTACCCCGAGCCGCGCAGGCCGCCCTCTAAAGGGGAAACGGGCCTGGGCGGAGCCCTAGCCTGCCCACACAGCCACGTCTGCACTCCTCTGCGCGGCTCCGGCACCTCCTTGCTGGCAACCCTGCTGGCGACGGCTCGTGCACCGTCCCCGCCGCCCTGCACGCTGCTGCTGGCTCACGGGGTCCTGCACCCCGCAGGACCTCTGCCTACGCCCCTGCTCGACTGTGACTCTCATCTCCCAGTGCTTGCTCTGGGGCTTGAAATGCATACCCTGAACCGACCACAGCTCAACCTCGAATCAACGCACACTGCGTAAAACCCCAGCACCTGACACTTGTGGAAAGCGGAAGCAGGAAGGGGGGGGGGGACCGTGAGTGTCCGCCGGCCGAGCGACACTGTCCCAGAAGCCTTTGCAAGGCCCCTCGTGCAGGGACTTCAGAGTTCTTTACACTAAACCAACAAAGACCCGGGTTAGAGGAGCGCCCTACTCCCGTGCGCCTCTCCCCACGCTGCGCTGCTGGCGTTGTGTGCAGCCGCGCCCCCGGCCACCCGGGAACGCCTTCTCGAGAGCTTAGCACTGGAGGGGAACCCTGCCCCCAGCCTCGTCCCTGCAGCTTCCACGCCTTCGCTGCTGCAGCTTGGGAGCGGGTTCTCCTCCGCTTTCACGGCCCTAAAGCGCCTCCCCCGCGCCGCCATTGCTCCGGGCGACGGGGACGCAGAACCCCAGCTTGGCAGCTTTTCCCTTTCTCAGCGTGTGCACGGCACTGCCCTCTGTGAAAAGGCGGCGGCGGCAGTGCCGGTCCTGGTCCCATGTGCGGCGTGTCTTCCCCAGGCCAGCGTCCTGAGCGCAGGAAACCCGTGTGGCCGCTCTGTGTTTGCTTGGGCGTCGCCGGAAACCGCTGTGCTCTGCATTGGCCGTTTTAGCTCTGCTGGAAAAGTCTGCAGCTGCCGCGGCTCCAGACGCCCTTAGCCCTGTCGTCCCTCCCAGGCTCGGTCTCGTCCCGCAGTCTGCGCTTCCAGTCTTTTCTCTCTGCTTCCATTGCCATCACCTGCTCTGTACTCGCACTCCCGGGCCACCTCCGGAGTGTCGGATCCGACTGCAGAATTTCCGTCTCAGTTACTCCATTTTTCATTGCATTTTCCAATTCTTTGTTGAAATTCTCTGCCTGTACTTGTGTCCGTTTGTAACAGCTTCTGTAAATTTCTTGTCTGCTAACTCCAGCACAGCCGTATCTGGGTGTGTGCAGGCTGCTTCTCCCCACGTGTCTCGTTTCTCACCGCAGGCTGGACATCGTGGGCTGTGTTGCTGAGTGCGTGCATCCTGTGCCGTGTGTGGGTCCTGTGCCGCGTGTGGGTCCTGTGCTGACTGTGGTTCCTGTGCCGTGTGTGGGTCCTGTGCCGCGTGTGGGTCCTGTGCCGCGTGTGTGGGTCCTGTGCCGAGTGTGGGTCCTGTGCCGTGTGTGGGTCCTGTGCCAAGTGTGTGGTTCCTGTGCCGAGTGTGGGTCCTGTGCCGTGTGTGGGTCCTGTGCCGTGTGTGGGTCCTGTGCCGCGTGTGTGGGTCCTGTGCCGTGTGTGGGTCCTGTGCCGTGTGTGTGGGTCCTGTGCCGAGTGTGGGTCCTGTGCCGAGTGTGGGTCCTGTGCCGCGTGTGTGGTTCCTGTGCCGAGTGTGGGTCCTGTGCCGTGTGTGGGTCCTGTGCCAAGTGTGTGGTTCCTGTGCCGAGTGTGGGTCCTGTGCCGTGTGGGTCCTGTGCCAAGTGTGTGGTTCCTGTGCCGAGTGTGGGTCCTGTGCCGCGTGTGTGGGTCCTGTGCCGTGTGTGGTTCCTGTGCCAAGTGTGTGGTTCCTGTGCCGAGTGTGGGTCCTGTGCCGCGTGTGTGGGTCCTGTGCCGTGTGTGGGTCCTGTGCCGTGTGTGGGTCCTGTGCCGAGGGTGTGGGTCCTGTGCCGAGTGTGTGGGTCCTGGGCTGACTGTGTGGGTCCTGTGCTGTGTGTGTGGGTCCTGGGCTGACTGTGTGGGTCCTGTGCTGTGTGTGTGGGTCCTGGGCTGACTGTGTGGGTCCTGTGCTGTGTGTGTGGTTCCTGTGCCATGTTTTTTCCCACAGGTGCCCCACATCTGCCCGCTCAAGGCTGCTCTGGGCTGGGTCAGGAAAGCGCACGGCGGCCCTATTCCTCGGGGCATCTTTCTCGATGCTGAGGGCTCAGTCTCCTGCACGCTGGTTGGCCAGAGTTCCAACTTATCGCACAGACCCCCAGCCCTGCTGCCCGCCACCCTGCACACGCACAGCCTCCTGTGGGGTGCCCAGGCTGGGCCCCGTGGGCTCCCACGGCTCTGCTCCGGGCCCTGCTGCAGCAGGCAGGGTACTGGGCTGCGCGAGCGGCTGCTTCCCGTTGCTTTGTTTGCAGCCAGAGCTGGAATAACGCGTGGCTCAGACGCGGGTCAAGTAGGAAGGTCCAAACGGCATTCTTAGGCTAACTGCTCTTAACCCAGTTCTTTGTCTGCAATTTATTCCCGCAAATTCCACGTGCGTTTCTGCATAAAACTTTAGAAGGCAAACGACTAGGATGGGATCTCTGGGAAGTGTGTCCACAAAGGTTCCATACCCAGCTGGCTCAACTGCCCGGTGCTGTTTGTGGCCAGGACCTGAGGCTGGATGCCCAGAAAGTGTGGCACTCAGCCTCCTGGCCCCCAGCTCCAGGCCCGGACACAGTGGTCACTCAAATGGAGTTGGCAGAATGGCACAGAACCATGGGCAAACTGGAGGGCAGGGCGGTGGCTGAAGGCCAGGGCTCCAGGCACCACGGGGACCTCACTGTCTGCAGAGAGCTGTCCCAGGTCCTGAAAAGGCCATCACACGTCCACAGGCCCCAGTGCCCCCGGCCCGATGACGCATCTGTATGGCATTTTAAATTATGTGCTACAAGGATTTGTCTAAAGATAAAACTCAACTTTGGAGTCCCTGTAGGAGAATGGCCGGCCAGGCGCCTTTGTGCTTTGCGTACGTAGGGGGCTTTTTTTTTTTTTTTTTTTAATTTTTAGTTAGTTCTCAAGAGATTCGACGTGCTTTCCAGACAGAATTCTGAGAACACGATGAGCGGCGAGTTTTCACTCAACCGGGGAAGAACGCGTGGCCCCTCGCTGCTCCCAGCCCTGGCCCTGCCTCAGCTCCTCCATGAGCGGCCTCCTGTGCACGGACCCTGTGGGCGCCTGAGACAAAGGAGCTCACGCAGAAGAGGGACGGCGTGGCCGGGTCCCCTCTCCACCGCCTGTGCGCTATCTGGACTGGCCTCCTGCTGGGCCCCACCAGCGACCCTCCCCTCCACCCTCGCGCCGCCTGCCTGAGCCCCGCCCCTGCCCCACTGACCCCTGCTCCACTTCCCACCATCACGACCACCAACTGCTCTGTCAAAGCGTCTCCTCTGTCCAGGTGCCAACCCCGACAGGGCGTCAGGCCCTGCCGAGCGTGTGAACACGACCCACCGCAGCCACATGGCTTCTGTCTCCTTCCCCGGCGCTCTTGGCCACAGCACCTCAGCCACTTCCTGGCAGGTCGCCCCCCAGTCCCACCCCAGGCCCTCCCATACCCTTCAGGTCCCCCACCTCGGCCCCCTCTTGGTCCCCCTAGGCACCCCTAGACACTTCCTCCAGTCCCCCCTGGCCCTCTCATACCCCCCAGGTCTCCTCCAGATTCCCCACTTTGGCCCCCTCCAAGTTGCCCCCGGCCCCATCTTGGTCCTACCAGGCCCCCCCCAGGTCCCCCCTCAGTCTTCCGTGGTCCTCCTGTACCCTCCAGACGGGCCCCCAGGCCCCCACCCCTGCTCAAGCGTGGATGGGCTCCCTCAGTGAGCAGCACAGTCGCTGGGTCCCCCTGTAGCTTTCTGGCTGAAGGCATCGCTGCCAGCACCCCACATCTTTCTCTTTTCTGGATCATTCCTTGGATTTTGTGGGCCAGATCTTCAAGCAACTTTCTAAAAATGGCGTTTGGGACGTGCATTTTCTGGCTCGGGTAAAAGTGGCTTTGTTTTAAGCTTCTACTTGACTGACAGTGTGGCGGGGCTGTCAGCAGGGAGCCGCTTCCTGCCCCTAGGGACTGAGCACCGTCTCCCCAGGTGCACGTGCGAGACCCTCACCCCGCAGGGACGGTGTCAGGAGGCGGGGCCTCAGGGAGGCGTGAGGTCGGGAGCGCAGGACCTCAGGGGTGGGATCCGCGCCCCAGGGAGGGATGCGAGGGGGGGTCTGTGAGTCAGGAGGTGGCCCCCACCCTCTGCGCTCACTGCAGTCTGTGGACTGCCCCACGGACTGAGCCCAGCCCCCTCGCCGAGGCACACGTGACGGGCTCTCTCCTCAGGCTCGTGTCCACACCGTGAGGATATCACGACAGGGTCACTTACGGACCAAGCATCCTCAGGAACTTGATGCCCATCTCCGTGGCCCTGTGGGAGCAGGCCATGGTGGTCTCGTGGTCGTGGGCCACGAAGGTGAAGTGGGCCAGGCGGGTCAGCGCCTGCAGCTCCACCAGCGGGTCCGACCAGCTGCACTCGTATGCCATCTTCACCACCTTCCGGGGCCGGGAGGAGAGGGGGCGTCAGGCAAGCAAGACGACCCCTCCCCCACCGCTTGCCCTACGTCAGTTTTGTGAAGCTCGAGCAGGCCACACACACCACGGACACCAGCAAAGGCGGGGGTGAGGCCCGTGGGCGCCCCTGCCTGAGCTGGGGCAGGACATGGGGTGGCCCCATGAGAACTCACAGCTCCAGATAGGAAACGGAGGCAGCGACAACCGGCGTGGCCAGGATGTGGGCACCGTGGGAACCCAGCCTCTCTGGCAGGCCCCGTGCACCTCAGCCTCCCTGCACACAGCTGCTGCCCACCCGGGCAGCGGGGACGCCCACCTGGGCCAGGGAGGGCACGCTGAAGTCCATGAGGCCGAGCCCGTTGCACGAGTACATCTCCAGGGCCACAAGCACCCTGGTCACGGCGCTGACGTCCTCGGGGCTGCTCTGCTGGGAAGGACACAGTAAGCGGCCATCAGCCCACCTGTGTGTGGGCCACCCCTGGCAGGGCTGCTGCCCAGGCTGTGTCTGTAGCTGACCACCTCCAGGTTAGCTTCTCACGCCGTCAAAGGCCGTGACCTCTGGGGCCACCTGGGTGGACGTGGAGGGCAGCTGGGCTGGCACAGCCACTGCCCCAGCCCCACCCAGAGCTCTTCCTTCCCTGGCCTAGCCTAAGAGCTGTCCCCACCCCCTTCCAGGCTGGGCTGGGCTCAGCTTCCTGGGACTTCCTGCCCACTCGTTGGGGTGTTCTGGCCTGGAGCGTTACAGCAGCCGAGGGTGGGGTGGCCCTGGGTCCTCTGACCCCAGCTCCCCACCCAGGCCATCTCCCAGTCCTAGGTTTTCGAGCTCCATGGCCCTGGCCTGGGCAACCTGCAGATGAGGCCTCAGTGCAGGGCACCAAGGGGGCCCCACCCCCAGGGGGCCTCCTGTCCTGGATCCTGAGGGCAGCCGGGGCGGGGACGTCAGTGGGAAAGGAGCTCCTGGGTCTTGCCGGCAGACACGGCTCTGTCACCACAGCCCCTGTCTAGCACCCACTGAGCACAGGGGGCCCCGTGGTCATTGGTGCCGGCAGGCCCCACCGCCCGCTGTCCCAGACGTGCCGCAGGGCGCACCTGCCCGTCGGGGCCCAGCCGCGGCCCGATCTGCTGCTGCAGCAGCTGCTTGGCCTTCACCCAGGTGGCCACGAGCTGCTGCCGTGTGCTCATGGACACCACCTCCTCTGGGACGTTCCCGTCACTCAGGTTCAGGGCAAACTCGCAGACCTGGAGCCGACCAAGGCAAATTCTCAGTAGCGGACACGCCATCCTCGCCCTTGGTGCAGACGGACAGCAGGTGACACGGCTGCCCAAGAGCTGCAGGACGAGCGTGCGTGCCCCCAGGGGGCCTGGAGTGGGCACAGCCCCCAGGGCGCCGACTGCACCCCTGCATCATCATGGCCACGTCAGCTCCCGCCAGTCCACCGTGCACCACCCCACACCTGGGCGTGACCACTGTGAGAGGCAGAGCTGCAGCCTCAACCAGCCACACTCGTGATTCTGGGGGCATGGACTGAGGGCCGTGCAGCTGCTGCACCCAAAGCCCCCGTCTCCCAGCACCCTGGGACAGGTCTCGCCATTCTGTGCCTCAGTTTCCCCTGTAAGTGGGGATAAAATGCAGTGTCCAGAGCCTGGCCCGGGGCAGTCATGCTGGCCAGGGAGGTCGCTGTCAAAGGCAGGACTGCCCAGCTGTCCCACCTGCTCCATGCAAGGTGCTCAGGCCAACGTCCCCTCCCCCTACTCTGGACAGACCTCCAGTCTCCTCGGATTCCACAACACGAGTTGGGGGGGGCGGCCCCTCTCGGTGCTGGCTGGGCGGAGCCTCTGCTGTTGCTGTGGTGGCTCCTGGTGCCTGGACCCAGCACCAGGCTCGCGTGGGAAGCTCCCCCGGGCACCCGGGCCGGCCCATGCCCTGGCCCCTGCCCCTCCTCACCCAGGTCGTCACCCCACTGGCCCTTGCCCTGGCCCTGCCTGCCTTCTGAGAACGAGGACCTGGACCGTGAGGTGGCCTCTGCCGGCACCGCCCCGCGCAGGGCCCTCTCTGGGGCAGCCGTCCTGTGGGCCCTGCGGCACCAGCGTCTTCCCCGGCAGGCTCTGGCTCGGGGCCGCCGCTCGGGGCCTGTGCGGTGCGGTGCTCCTGAGCAGGTCCCGGGGGGAGGGGGGCTGCCCTCGGGCCGCTTCTGCGGGCTCTGGCTCCCCTGCCCCGCCGAGGATGCTGGGAGTCCCCGAAATGCGTCAAGAAACTCATTCCTTTCAGGTTGAGGGAGTCTTCCGGGCCACAAGGGGTGAGGGGTGCGGCAAGGCCCACAACCCCCCCTTGCCCACAGCCTCGTGGACCCGAGTGCTCCTCAGTCTGCGGGGTCGGATCACACACGGGCCCTGCGGGGCGCTGCGGGCCCCGGCCTGCGTCTTCCTGCAGCACCGGCCTGCGGGCCCCGGCCTGCATCTTCCTGCAGCACCGGCCTGCGGGCCCCGGCCTGCGTCTTCCTGCAGCACCGGCCTGCGGGCCCCGGCCTGCGTCTTCCTGCAGCACCGGCCTGCGGGCCCCGGCCTGCGTCAGCCTGCAGCACCGGCCTGCGGGCCCCGGCCTGCGTCTTCCTGCAGCACCGGCCTGCGGCCCCGGCCTGCGTCTTCCTGCAGCACCGGCCTGCGGGCCCCGGCCTGCGTCAGCCTGCAGCACCGGCCTGCGGGCCCCGGCCTGCGTCTTCCTGCAGCACGGCCTGCGGGCCCCGGCCTGCGTCTTCCTGCAGCACCGGCCTGCGGGCCCCGGCCTGCGTCAGCCTGCAGCACCGGCCTGCGGGCCCCGGCCTGCGTCTTCCTGCAGCACCGGCCTGCGGGCCCCGGCCTGCGTCTTCCTGCAGCACCGGCCTGCGGGCCCCGGCCTGCGTCGGCCTGCAGCACCGGCAGTTTAGGCTCACACTGTCCTGTGCTCTGGAGTAAGCAGCAGAGCCAGGACCTGGGCGGAGTCGGGGCCCCAGCAGCCGGGCTCAGACTCACGCCTCTCACCCCGCCACGGCCGGCTCTCCTAGGCCTCCCCAGCCTCCTCGGGGCCTGGGGCGGGCTGTACCTCCACGGCTGTCCTGATCTCTGTCGTGGCCCCCGAGTCCAGCGGCGTGTGAGGCACGATGGGCCGCACCGACTTCTTGGACTTCTCGGGCGTCTGGGTTGGAATCCAGCTGATGATGAGGCCCCGTGCCAGGGCGCTGCAGAGCACCGCCAAGGTCTGCACATCCCTGCAGGGAGAGCGCCGGGCACTGCAGAGCGCCACCAAGGCCTGCCCGTCCCTGCAGGGGGAGCGCCGGGCACTGCAGAGCACCGCCAAGGCCTGCCCGTCCCTGCAGGGAGAGCACCGGGCACTGCAGGGCGCCACCAAGGCCTGCCCGTCCCTGCAGGGGGAGCGCCAGGCACTGCAGGGCGCCGCCAAGGCCTGCCCATCCCTGCAGGGGGAGCGCCGGGCACTGCAGGGCGCCACCAAGGTCTGCCTGTCCCTGCAGGGAGAGTGCCGGACAGGCAGGGGGCTGACCTCACCCACGCATTCGGCAGAGACGCAGCCGCCACCATGTGCCCATCCAGGGAGCTGCTCTCAGGCCTGGGCAGTGGGACGGGGCAGTGTCCACTGCCAGGGATACGGTGTCCCCCCTGGCGGGAGGCCGTGAAGAACAGTTGCCAGTCACAGGGTCTCGCCAGAAACCTCACGGCGCCCAGACACTGAGAACAGCGACAGAGGTCTTGGGTGCCACAGCAGCATGCGGTCGGCCCAGGCTGGACACAGGTGGCCGCTGCTGACCGCACTCACAGTCCGCTCTCCGTGTACTGTCACGTCTGCGGCTGCTCCTTACTCACTACCGTTTGCTCCCCCCCTTGCCCAAATTTCTCATTTTAGCTGGGGATGGTTTCGCACCAGCGCCTGGCTGAGCCCAGGCCTCTCAGAGCACCCACCCGTGGTGGCCGGTGTCCTTGACGATGCTCAGGAGGTGGGACAGGGCGTCCACCAGCTCCTTCTGCCGCCCGGCCACGATGAGGTGGCGGTTGTGGTTCAGGACGTAGACCATGGCGTTCTGCACGATCCAGGCTTCCCCGATCTCCCGTCCAATCTCCGCGGAGCGCAGCCAGTTGCTCATGGCATACTGAGACAGGTTTTCCACCCAGGCTCTGCCGAGGGCGCAGAGGGGTTGGGTCCGTCACAGCCTCAGCCACACCCACTCAGCATGCAGGGCAGGGGCCACACAGAGCCCATGGCCCACCCAGGGCGGCCTGGGGCGTTGTGGGCCCGGCCCAGCTCACCCACTCCTCCACTGCACCAGCCCCACGTGGCCTCATTCCCACCTGGACACCCGCAGCTGCCCCCTGCTGGCCTTCCCTTGCCATCAGGCCGGCCGGACGCCGGGCTGGGCCACTCTGTCCACGGTCCAGCCATCCCTCGCTTCCCTGCCTCCCCTCCATTCTGCCCTGGGCTGCCCTCCTGCCTGGCCACAGGGCGTGACACTTGGTCCCCTTACTGTATGCAGGCAGCTGTTTGTCACTCAGCCCCACGTGGGCGTGGACAGGGCCCGGCCGTCCACTCTGTGAGCCAGGCACTGTCTGCTCACGTTTTAGCCACTGAGCTCAGGGACCCTAGTTTGCTCCAGCCTGGCCACAGCCAGGAGAGACAGCCCCTGAGGCTGCCGCCTGGACAGCTGTGGGCTCACAGGGAGGGACCCGGGCAGGACCTGTGCTGGGCCTGGGGCTGGGGGAGGGGTGGGAGCGCGGTGCTCCAGCCTGTGCGCAAACGGAGCCGTGCCTGCCGCTGTGCCCCTCGCTTCCACGGCACGTCGCACGGCACGCCAGGCGCTCCCGGGCCGGCCCCACCACCCCGGACGGAAGCCGTGCGGCTTTTCTTCTTGGCCGACAGGGAAGCAGCTCCTTGTCTGAGAGCTGGCTGAGGGCGGTGTGTGTCGCGCGTGACGGGAAAGCCGGTCTCTGACTGCCAGCTGGCAAACAGGCCGCTCACTCACGAGTGGCACACCGCCCCGTCTTGCTGGGACACCTGCCGGCACAGAGGGCCCTGTCCCCCTGGTCAGCTGCCGGCACTGCCCACCTGTACGTGGCCCACTCTGCACTCGTCTCTGGGGACTCAGGCACGTAGCCGGCTGGGTGCTGGCTCAAGTCCTCGGGGGGGATGGGTGGATCATTCAGCTCCACGCCTTCTGACCGCAGCAAATGGACAGTGGCCTGCAAAGGAAGTGGGCAGCAAGGGAGGTCAGCGGGGGGCGCACACAGCACAGAGGTCGTGGGGCCAGGGGGAGAAAGGGAGTGGGGGAGGGGAGGAGGGAGGGGGGAGGCAGGGAGTGGGGGAGGGAGGGGAAGGGAGGGGGAGGGAGGGGGAGGGGGGAGTGGAGGAGGTGGGAGTGGGAGGGAAGGAGGCTGAGAGGGAGGCAAGGAGTTGAGGAGGGAGGGAGGTGTGGGGGATGCGGGGAGTGGGGGCGGGGGGGGAGGGGGGAGGGAGGCGGGGACGTAGGCACGCACCTCGGCGTTGATGAACCCCACCTCGGCGAACTTCCGCAGCAGGTCGGGCAGCATCTGCCGGTGCAGGGCGGCCTCTGAGGGGCCCCAGGAGTCCTGCACGGAGCCGTTCCCACCCTTCTTCTTCTTCCCTGGGGGGAGGGGGCGGGGGTCTCTGGAGGCTTCTCTGCCCAAGAAGGGGCTGGAGGAGCTTCTCTGGGTGTGGTCAGTGCCAGCTCTGGGCCACAGCCCCACTGGCTCGGCCCTGGGCTGGGTGGGGAGGCCCGGGTGGCTGAGGCCGGGCCCTGGGCGGGGTGGGGAGGCCGGGCCCTGGGTCGGGTGAGGAGGCCCGGGTGGCTGAGGCCGGGCCCTGGGCGGGTGGGGAGGCCGGGCCCTGGGAGGGGAGGGGAGGCCCGGGTGGCTGAGGCCGGGCCCTGGACGGGTGGGGAGGCCAGGCCCTGGGAGGGGAGGGGAGGCCCGGGTGGCTGAGGCCGGGCCCTGGGCGGGTGGGGAGGCCTGGCCGTACCCTTCCTGAGTTTCAGCGGCTTCTTCTCCTTGATGTTGTCGTACAGGAGGCAGAAGCGGCTCGCCGTCCGGCACACGTCCCACACCCCCTGCTTCCGGGCGACCTTGGCGAGCTCTGTCCAAATCTCGATTCTGCTCCCCGGGACCCAGACGGGGTGAACAGCCGCACAGTCGGTCGGGAAGCAACGCAAGGGCAGCTCGACACGAGCAGCCACGCCAGCCAGGCGCCCGCGGCCCCGAGACCAGCAGCAGAAGCTCAGGGCTGGGAAACGCCTCCTCTTCTCCTGGGGGGTGGGGGCGGGTCTCCTGGGCTGCAGACCCCCGGCCTGAACACTGGCCTGCTCAGGCCACCGAGACCAGGGCTGTCTGTCCCTCTCGGGAACACACCTCACGGGCCAGATGTGGAAATCCTTCAAGTCCAAAACCCCACAAGCCACAGTCCCGGAAGATTAAGATCCTGACGGGAGGGGCCTGCACGGTGGCACAGTGGGAAAAGCTGTTGCCTGCAGCGCCGGCATCCCATATGGGCACTGGTTCAAGTCCCAGCTGCTCCTATCCAGTCTATCCAGCTCTACACTGTGGCCTGGGAAAGCAGTGGGGAATGGCCCAAGTCCTCGGGCCCTTGCACCTGCATTGGAGACCCGGAAGCAGCTCCTGGCCCCTGGCTTCAGACTGGCTCAGCTCCAGCCGTTGCGGCCAATTGGGGAGTGAACCAGCAGATGGAAGACCCCTCTCTCTCTGTCTCTCCTCTCTCTGTGTAGCTCTTTCAAATAAATAAATATTAAAAAAAAAAAAAAAAAAAAGGATCCTGACGAGAGGAATCCCCCAGATAGCAATCCCCACGGGGAAAAGCTGCCCTCAAGGGCCGGGCCAGATGCTGTGGCCCCTGCCTGGGACGCCGTGGCCCCTGCTCTGGGACAAAAGCCTGCAGGTCACAGGTCTCTGGGAGACTGCCATGATGACCTTATGGGTCCTCACCGACCTCAGCTGAAGACAGAGCCACCCATCAGCGGCAAGATCTCAGACGGCCACGGTCCCCAGCCTCGGGGGACAGCTGTGCCCCTCACACTGTGTGTCCAGCCGTGGCTGCACACCCATGGTGCTGCTGTTCGTGGCCAGGAGTGGGTGCAGCTACACACGTGCACTTTCTGTGTAAAGTGGCCTGTGACGTGTTCGGCCAAATTTTTCATGGTTCTCGAAGATTCTCATTTAAAAAGGTAGATAACTGTCTCCTAGGTTTTGGAGACTTTGACGTTCTGTGGATTTTAGACTTCGGAATCTGGATCTTTGGGCCCAGGGAGTCCTGGCGTGGGCGTGGGGCCCCTCCCGACTCACCGCTCTTTGTCGTTTTCATTCCCCAGACGCCGCAAGTGGCCGGCGGCCTTGTCCACGCTGATCATGTGGTGCCGCGCCTTGGCGAAGAGGTAGGTGAACCGGCCCCTGTTTTTCCCAGTGGACACTGACAGCAGAAAACAAAACCAGGTGTGCACGTTGGCCGTGCAGGGTTGGGTGTGTTCAGGTGGGCGTCTGATACCAGCAGCGGGGGCTGAGCCTCGAGGGGCCCCACACCGGGCGTGGCATCTCCGCCCCCGGAAGCAGCCTGTTTCAGAATCTGGCCCATGCCCCACTCACTGCCCCTTCTGTGGCAGCAGCATCCTGACCAGAGCACCAGGCCTCTGACCCTCCTCCGCCCTCTCGCCACCCCCGCCCACCCCAGACCCTGAGGTTTATCTGCATGGTGAACCCACTCTCCTCCTGGCAAACAAACCATCAACACCGAGAACCCAATGCCATCCGAGGGCCAGGCACCCAGGACAGCAAGAACCCAATGCCATCCGAGGGCCAGGCACCCAGGACAGCAAGAACTCAATGCCATCCGAGGGCCAGGCACCCAGGACAGCAAGAACCCAATGCCATCCGAGGGCCAGGCACCCAGGACAGCAAGAACCCAATGCTATCTGAGGGCCAGGCACCCAGGACAGCGAGAACCCAATGCCATCCGAGGGCCAGGCACCCAGGACAGCAAGAACCCAATGCTATCTGAGGGCCAGGCACCCAGGACAGCGAGAACCCAATGCCATCCGAGGGCCAGGCACCCAGGACAGCGAGAACCCAATGCCATCCGAGGGCCAGGCACCCAGGACAGCGGCTCCCGGATGCATCGGGCACTGGGCCTGTCCCAGACTCAGGAGGACCCCGGGTGTGAAGCTGGGCTCTCTGGCTGGGCCCTGCCCTCTTGGACACCACAGCCCCTCACCTTAGGAGCCGACCCAGGGCCTCCCTCCCTCCAAGCAGCTGCTGCCTGGCTTAGCAGCCCCTCAGCCACCACCCCGGCAGGTGCACATGCAGCTGGCCCCAGGTGCCCCAGCTCACACTCAGAGAGAAACGAATCAAGAGGAGCAAATCAGAGCGTGGAGGTGACGACAGGTCCATCACCACTGGGCCCGGGATGGGGTACGGCAGATGGGCAGGCAGGCAGGGCGCCCAGACCGTCCACGGCAGCTTCCTAAGCCCCACTGAGGGCCCATCCCACTGTATTCCCAACCCCTGCTTACACCTGCCATGCAGCCGTGGCTCCGGTCCTCTCCTGGGTGGGAGCCGAGCTCGGCCAGCCTCACTGCCCACCCTGTCCACCCCCAGAGATGCGGGGCCAAGGAGACCTCCCCAGCACACGGGGGACAGCGAGGCCTCACACTCTGTGACTCAGAATGAGTTTAGAATCTCCCTGGGGACACAAGGCCAGGGCTGGTGTGAGCACTGTGACCTTGGGAGGCACGAATCCAGGTCCTCGTGCCTGGGCCAGCGTCATGGGCTGAGCTGTCGCAGGACAGCGCAAGGCCCTGGGGCTGCTGAGCGCACCAGAACCACGCCAAGCCGGGGCCGGGGCTCTGGGCGGACCAGCTCACCTTTGGCCTCGTTCTCACTGTCCAGCACGATCTGGAAGGTGTCGGGGGCCAGGGCCAGGCCCGCGTTCACCAGCAGGGCCCGCTTCTTCCTCACGCTGTCTCTATGGGCGGCTTTTCTGGCCTGCGGGAGGCAGAGGAAGAGTGGCGGCCCCTCTGGCTGTGAGGCCCTCGGGGGCCTCCCGGCGGCGGGGTGGGCCCCGGGCAGCTGCCACTCCTGCCCAGCTCCCAGGATGGGGGGACCCACGGTGGCCGCGTCCGCACCTGCTCGATGGCCATGATGGCCTTGTCCTCCGGGCGCTCAGGGGACTGGTAGAGCATGGTGCACAGGCGCAGCCGGTTGAAGGCCATCTGGAGCTTGTCCCGGTAGAGCCCCAGGCTGTCGAGGGCCTGGGCCTTCTGCAGGTGCTGCATGGCGGGCTCCAGCCGGTCCTCGTCCTCCTCAATGTGCGCCAGCTCCATGTGCACTTGGCAGCGCAGCAGGGTCATCAGGCTGGGGACGGGCGGCGTGCGTGAGAGGCCGTGCGGGCCATGACGCGCCCGCTGTGCAGGGTGCCCCGGCTTTCTGGTCTCTGGTCACAGCCCTGCCCTTAGGACTCACGCAGAGGGAGAGGCCCCTGCAGCCCGCTGCACACCGCGGTGCTCGGCTGGTGAGAGCTGGAGGCAGGCGGCGGCAGACTGCTCTCCACGTCTGCTCTGCCAGTGAGGAGGGGCCTGGGCCGTGGCTTGTCAGCACCTCGGAGACCCAGCTGAGACACCAGAGCGACCTCTGACCTTAGCACCAAGAGCCACCCCTGCCCAGACAGAACCTAACGTGAAAGCCTGGTGAGATGTGTGGGTGTGGCAGTGTTGGGGGTCAGACACCCACATCTTGAGCCACGGCTCAGAGACAGAGACAGTGAGAGACAGCGATAGTGACTGAGACAGTGATGGAGACAGAGACAGTGAGAGACAGAGATAGTGACTGAGACAGTGACGGAGACAGAGACAGTGAGAGACAATGACAGAGAGAGACAGTGACAGAGACAGTGACAGTGACAGTGACTGAGAGACACAGTGACGGTGACAGAGACAGTGACGGTGACAGTGACAGAGAGACAGTGACAGTGACTGAGAGACACAGTGACAGTGACAGAGACAGAGACAGTGACTGAGAGACACAGTGACAGTGACAGAGACAGAGACAGTGACTGAGAGACACAGTGACAGTGACAGAGACAGTGAGAGACGGTGACAGAGACAGAGATTGTGACAGAGCAGAGACACAGTGACAGAGACCGAGTCTGACAGTGAGAGACAGAGACACAGTGACAGTGACAGAGATTGTGACAGTGGCAGAGACAGTGACGGTGACCGAGTCTGACAGTGAGACACACGTTAGAGAACAGAAAGGAGGAAACAGGAGACTCGCAGGGCCCCCTGCTCACGAGGGCCCGACGACCAGAGGCTGCAGAGGCGGCTCGGCCTCATGGGCTGTGGCCCTGAAGGACGCACACGAGTATCACGGCCCTAGAGAATCCCTGCTCCCAAGGGGCAAAACCGAGAAACCAAGAAGCCAGCGGAGGAAATGAAACAGAGCTCCACAATATTCAGGCTGGGGGCCGGCACTGTGGCGTAGCTGGGAAGGCGCCTGTGGTGCCGGCATCCCACACGGGCGCCGGTTTAAGTCCGGCTTCTCCACTCCCGGTCAAGTTCTCTGCTATGGCCTGGGCAGTGGAAGATGGCCCAAGTCCTGGACCCCTGGAAGAGGCTCCTGGCTCCTGGCTTCGGATCAGCTCAGCTCCAGCCGTTGTGGCCATCTGGGGAGTGAACCAGCAGGTGGAAGCCCCCCCCCCACCTCTGCCTCTCTATAACTCTGCCTTTCCATTAAATAAATAAATCTTTTTTAAAAAGTTCCGTTAACTGCAGGAAAGGCAGAGACAGAGCACAGCAGATGCAGGAAAAGGGAGAAACTCCCCACGGACAGGAGGGCAGACCTGGACCCAGCGTCAGCCAGCAGAGGCAGACACCCCACGTCAGAGGTCCTTCACGAGGTTCCATGTGCACCATGTAAGACACATGCCTTCAAGAATCTTCTGGGGAGGAGCGGGATGAGTCGCAGGCCCGCAGCACCGGCCCAGACACGGACCAGCGGCAGACGAGCAGCCCCAAGGGCCTGGAGAAGCCCCGGTCCAAACCCCAGAAAGCGGAAGGGTCCCAAGTCACATCACACCCGAGTGCACTGAGGAGCACTCTGGGTTTGATTTCCAAATCTGGAAACGAATGCTCAACCTGTACTATGGAACCTTCCAGAACAGTGGGCCTCAAAGTTGTCCAGAGACCCTGGGGGTCTCTAAGACCCAGCCAGTGGGGTCCACCAGGCAAGCTGCTTTTACCCACAGACATCATTCTCCAGGCCACGCACGTTTTTCATGAATATACCTGTGACATGACAAGGTCATTGCACTACTGTCCATGGCAACGTTCACGTGTGTGTTCCCGTGTTTAATGTTTTTCCATTTTAATTTCTAATTCAGTGAACATCAGGAAACACAACCCACTAGCGGCAGCTCTCTGGAGTCCTGAGGGAGAGCAGGGGGTCCTGGTCTGGCCAGGCTGTCCCGCGAGGAAACGGGGGACCACGACCTTAGCAGAGGAAGCAGTCTCGCCCAAGACAGACGCAGCGCAGCCAAGGCACAAGGCTCACTCACCCACGAGCACCTTGCGCCTCAAGATGGGCCGCTCAGACCCCGGCTCGGGGGAGACAAGCAGGCCGCCGCGTGGCCAGGGCGCAGAGTTCCGGGAAACAACACCGGCAAACGGGCAACCAGAACACGAAACGGTGCTTGCCGCTGCCCAGGCGGGAAACTAAAAATCCACCAGGAAATCCCGGTGTGAATCCAGGGAGGGGCTCAAAGCACCACACTTGGCAGCCCCTGCACCACGGCGTGGGCGGAGCCAACGCGTCTACAGGTGTTGGAAAGGCACCCACCATGTCCCCTTCCAGCAACCCCAGCAACGCCCCCGCCAAACGGCCCCCGGCAGGCGAGGAGAGGCGGCAGACTCTAACTCTACCTGGAAAGAAAGGAAGGGAGGGAGGGAGGGAGGGAGGGAGGGAGGGAGGAAGGAATGCCATCATCCGGCACCACGGGGGCATCGGCCCGTGCACAGCCGCTGCACGCCAGGTGCTCAGCACACAAGTGCAGAAAAGCAGCGGAATCCCCGGCCTGCACCCCCGGGCCCGCCCCACCTGTCCACCTTCTCCAGGACCTCGGCGATGCTGGCCAGCGGCTTCCGCAGGAGGTGCCGCAGGTTGTGCTGCAGCAGGGGCAGGCAGGCGTTCCACTGGGTGGTGCACACCACGTGGATGACCTGGGCGTCGCCCAGGCGGGCCGCACGCTGCAGCGCCAGGTCCAGTCTCTTGATGATGCTCAGCTGGCTCTGCAGAGGGCACAGTGGACGGCACACGGCGTGAGCTGGCAGAGCCGGTGCTGCCGCAGGGTTGGGGCTCATGCCGGGAGCTCGGTACCGGCTTCATCGCATGTGCCAGAGAGCAGTGGCCTTTTCCTAGATGGGAGCAGGAGCTTCGTGACGCACGCTCGAGTCTCAGATGTGCTGTCCACTTCCACGGAGCTGTCTGTCTTCTACGGCTCATGGGAGTACGTATTCAGGGGGTGGTAGACCTGGGGCGCTGGGGGACCTGAGGACCTGGGGGACCTGGGGGACCTGAGGACCTGGGGGACCTGAGGACCTGGGGGACCTGGGGGACCTGAGGACCTGGGGGACCTGGGGGACCAGGAGACCTGAGGATCTGAGGACCTGGAAGACCTGGGGGACCTGAGGACCTGGCAGACCTGAGGACCTGGGGGACCTGGGGGACCTGAGGACCTGAGGACCTGAGGGACCTGAGGACCTGAGGACCTGAGCACCTGGGGACCTGGGGGACCTGAGGACCTGGGGGACCTGGGGGACCTGAGGACCTGGGGACCTGAGGACCTGGGGGACCTGGGGACCTGAGGACCTGGGGGACCTGAGGACCTGGGGGACCTGGGACCTGAGGACCTGAGGACCTGAGGACCTGGGGGACCTGGGGGACCAGGAGACCTGAGGACCTGAGGACCTGAGGACCTGGAAGACCTGGGGGACCTGAGGACCTGGCGGACCTGAGGACCTGGGGGACCTGGGGGACCTGAGGACCTGAGGACCTGAGGGACCTGAGGACCTGAGGACCTGAGCACCTGGGGACCTGGGGGACCTGAGGACCTGGGGGACCTGAGGACCTGGGGGACCTGAGGACCTGAGGACCTGGGGGACCTGAGGACCTGAGGACCTGAGGACCTGAGGACCTGGGGGACCTGGGGGACCTGAGGACCTGAGGACCTGAGGACCTGGGGGACCAGGAGACCTGAGGACCTGAGGACCTGGAAGACCTGGGGGACCTGAGGACCTGGAGGACCTGGGGGACCTGAGGACCTGGAGGACCTGGGGGACCTGAGGACCTGAGGACCTGAGCGCCTGGGGACCTGGGGGACCTGAGGACCTGAGGACCTGGGGGACCTGAGGACATGAGGACCTGAGGACCTGGGGGACCTGGGGGACCTGAGGACCTGCGGGACCTGGGGACCTGAGGACCTGGGGGACCTTAGGACCTGAGGACCTGAGGTCCTGAGGACCTGAGGACCTGGGGGACCTGGGGGACTTGAGGACCTGAGGAACTGGGGGACCTGGGGGACCTGAGGACCTGTGGACCTGAGGACCTGAGGACCTGGGGGACCTGGGGGACCTGACGACCTGAGGACCTGGGGGACCTGAGGACCTGAGGACCTGAAGACCTGAGGACCTGGGGACCTGAGGACCTGACGACCTGAGGACCTGGGGGACCTGGGGCGCTGGGGGACATGAGGACCTGGGAGACCTGGGGGACCTGAGGACCTGACGACCTGCGGACCTGGGGGACCTGAGGACCTGAGGATCTGAGGACCTGGGGGACCTGAGGACCTGAGGACCTGGGGACCTGAGGACCTGAGGACCTGAGGACCTGAGGACCTGGGGGACCTGAGGTCCTGAGGACCTGAGGACCTGGGGACCTGGGGCGCTGAGGGACCTGAGGACCTGGGGACCTGAGGATCTGGGGACCTGGGGGACCTTAGGACCTGAGGACCTGAGGTCCTGAGGACCTGAGGACCTGGGGGACCTGGGGGACCTGAGGACCTGACGACCTGAGGACCTGGGGGACCTGAGGACCTGAGGACCTGGGGGACCTGAGGACCTATGGACCTGAGGACCTGAGGACCTGGGGGACCTGGGGGACCTGACGACCTGACGACCTGAGGACCTGGGGGACCTGAGGACCTGAGGACCTGAAGACCTGAGGACCTGGGGGACCTGGGGGACTTGAGGACCTGAGGAACTGGGGGACCTGAGGACCTGAGGACCTGGGGGACCTGCGGACCTGAGGACCTGGGGGACCTGAGGACCTGAGGACCTGAGGACCTGAGGACCTGGGGGACCTGGGGGACCTGAGGACCTGAGGACCTGAGGACCTGGGGGACCTGAGGACCTGAGGACCTGAGCACCTGGGGACCTGGGGGACCTGAGGACCTGAGGACCTGGGGGACCTGAGGACCTGGCAGACCTGAGGACCTGGGGGACCTGGGGGACCTGAGGACCTGAGGACCTGAGGGACCTGAGGACCTGAGGACCTGAGCACCTGGGGACCTGGGGGACCTGAGGACCTGGGGGACCTGAGGACCTGGGGGACCTGGGGGACCTGAGGACCTGGGGGACCTGAGGACCTGGGGGACCTGGGGACCTGAGGACCTGGGGGACCTGAGGACCTGGGGGACCTGGGACCTGAGGACCTGAGGACCTGAGGACCTGGGGGACCTGGGGGACCAGGAGACCTGAGGACCTGAGGACCTGAGGACCTGGAAGACCTGGGGGACCTGAGGACCTGGCGGACCTGAGGACCTGGGGGACCTGGGGGACCTGAGGACCTGAGGACCTGAGGGACCTGAGGACCTGAGGACCTGAGCACCTGGGGACCTGGGGGACCTGAGGACCTGGGGGACCTGAGGACCTGGGGGACCTGAGGACCTGAGGACCTGGGGGACCTGAGGACCTGAGGACCTGAGGACCTGAGGACCTGGGGGACCTGGGGGACCTGAGGACCTGAGGACCTGAGGACCTGGGGGACCAGGAGACCTGAGGACCTGAGGACCTGGAAGACCTGGGGGACCTGAGGACCTGGAGGACCTGGGGGACCTGAGGACCTGGAGGACCTGGGGGACCTGAGGACCTGAGGACCTGAGCGCCTGGGGACCTGGGGGACCTGAGGACCTGAGGACCTGGGGGACCTGAGGACATGAGGACCTGAGGACCTGGGGGACCTGGGGGACCTGAGGACCTGCGGGACCTGGGGACCTGAGGACCTGGGGGACCTTAGGACCTGAGGACCTGAGGTCCTGAGGACCTGAGGACCTGGGGGACATGGGGGACTTGAGGACCTGAGGAACTGGGGGACCTGGGGGACCTGAGGACCTGTGGACCTGAGGACCTGAGGACCTGGGGGACCTGGGGGACCTGACGACCTGAGGACCTGGGGGACCTGAGGACCTGAGGACCTGAAGACCTGAGGACCTGGGGGACCTGAGGACCTGACGACCTGAGGACCTGGGGGACCTGGGGCGCTGGGGGACATGAGGACCTGGGAGACCTGGGGGACCTGAGGACCTGACGACCTGCGGACCTGGGGGACCTGAGGACCTGAGGATCTGAGGACCTGGGGGACCTGAGGACCTGAGGACCTGGGGGACCTGAGGACCTGAGGACCTGAGGACCTGAGGACCTGGGGGACCTGAGGTCCTGAGGACCTGAGGACCTGGGGGACCTGGGGCGCTGAGGGACCTGAGGACCTGGGGACCTGAGGATCTGGGGACCTGGGGGACCTTAGGACCTGAGGACCTGAGGTCCTGAGGACCTGAGGACCTGGGGGACCTGGGGGACCTGAGGACCTGACGACCTGAGGACCTGGGGGACCTGAGGACCTGAGGACCTGGGGGACCTGAGGACCTATGGACCTGAGGACCTGAGGACCTGGGGGACCTGGGGGACCTGACGACCTGACGACCTGAGGACCTGGGGGACCTGAGGACCTGAGGACCTGAAGACCTGAGGACCTGGGGGACCTGGGGGACTTGAGGACCTGAGGAACTGGGGGACCTGAGGACCTGAGGACCTGGGGACCTGCGGACCTGAGGACCTGGGGGACCTGAGGACCTGAGGACCTGAGGACCTGAGGACCTGGGGGACCTGGGGGACCTGAGGACCTGAGGACCTGAGGACCTGGGGGACCTGAGGACCTGAGGACCTGAGCACCTGGGGACCTGGGGGACCTGAGGACCTGAGGACCTGGGGGACCTGAGGACCTGACGACCTGAGGACCTGGGGGACCTGGGGTGCTGGGGGACATGAGGACCTGGGAGACCTGGGGGACCTGAGGACTTGACTACCTGCAGACCTGGGGGACCTGAGGACCTGAGGACCTGGGGGACCTGAGGACCTGAGGACCTGGGGGACCTGAGGACCTGAGGATCTGAGGACCTGGGGGACCTGAGGACCTGAGGACCTGGGGGACCTGAGGACCTGAGGACCTGGGGCGCTGGGGGACCTGAGGTCCTGAGGACCTGAGGACCTGGGGGACCTGGGGGACCTGAGGACCTGAGGACCTGGGGACCTGAGGATCTGGGGACCTGGGGGACCTGAGGACCTGAGGACCTGAGGACCTGAGGACCTGCGGGACCTGGGGACCTGAGGACCTGGGGGACCTTAGGACCTGAGGACCTGAGGTCCTGAGGACCTGAGGACCTGGGGGACCTGGGGGACCTGAGGACCTGACGACCTGAGGACCTGGGGGACCTGAGGACCTGAGGACCTGGGGGACCTGAGGACCTATGGACCTGAGGACCTGAGGACCTGGGGGACCTGGGGGACCTGACGACCTGACGACCTGAGGACCTGGGGGACCTGAGGACCTGAGGACCTGAGCACCTGGGGACCTGGGGGACCTGAGGACCTGAGGACATGGGGGACCTGGGGGACCTGCGGACCTGAGGACCTGGGGGACCTGGGGACCTGAGGACCTGAGGACCTGAGGACCTGGGGGACCTGGGGGACCTGAGGACCTGACGACCTGAGGACCTGGGGGACCTGAGGACCTGAGGACCTGAGCACCTGGGGACCTGGGGGACCTGAGGACCTGAGGAACTGGGGGACCTGAGGACCTGGGGGACCTGAGGACCTGACGACCTGAGGACCTGGGGGACCTGGGGTGCTGGGGGACATGAGGACCTGGGAGACCTGGGGGACCTGGGGCGCTGGGGGACATGAGGACCTGGGAGACCTGGGGGACCTGAGGACCTGACGACCTGCGGACCTGGGGGACCTGAGGACCTGAGGATCTGAGGACCTGGGGGACCTGAGGACCTGAGGACCTGGGGGACCTGAGGACCTGAGGACCTGAGGACCTGAGGACCTGGGGGACCTGAGGTCCTGAGGACCTGAGGACCTGGGGGACCTGGGGGACCTGAGGACCTGACGACCTGCGGACCTGGGGGACCTGAGGACCTGAGGATCTGAGGACCTGGGGGACCTGAGGACCTGAGGACCTGGGGGACCTGAGGACCTGAGGACCTGAGGACCTGGGGGACCTGAGGTCCTGAGGACCTGAGGACCTGGGGGACCTGGGGCGCTGAGGGACCTGAGGACCTGGGGACCTGAGGATCTGGGGACCTGGGGGACCTTAGGACCTGAGGACCTGAGGTCCTGAGGACCTGAGGACCTGGGGGACCTGGGGGACCTGAGGACCTGACGACCTGAGGACCTGGGGGACCTGAGGACCTGAGGACCTGGGGGACCTGAGGACCTATGGACCTGAGGACCTGAGGACCTGGGGGACCTGGGGGACCTGACGACCTGACGACCTGAGGACCTGGGGGACCTGAGGACCTGAGGACCTGAAGACCTGAGGACCTGGGGGACCTGGGGGACTTGAGGACCTGAGGAACTGGGGGACCTGAGGACCTGAGGACCTGGGGGACCTGCGGACCTGAGGACCTGGGGGACCTGAGGACCTGAGGACCTGAGGACCTGAGGACCTGGGGGACCTGGGGGACCTGAGGACCTGAGGACCTGGGGCGCTGGGGGACCTGAGGTCCTGAGGACCTGAGGACCTGGGGGACCTGAGGACCTGAGGACCTGGGGGACCTGAGGACCTGAGGATCTGAGGACCTGGGGGACCTGAGGACCTGAGGACCTAGGGGACCTGAGGACCTGAGGACCTGGGGGACCTGAGGACCTGAGGACCTGAGGACCTGGGGCGCTGGGGGACCTGAGGTCCTGAGGACCTGAGGACCTGGGGGACCTGGGGCGCTGAGGGACCTGAGGACCTGGGGACCTGAGGATCTGGGGACCTGGGGGACCTGAGGACCTGAGGACCTGAGGACCTGAGGACCTGGGGGACCTGGGGACCTGGGGACCTGAGAACCTGAGGACCTGAGGACCTGGGGGACCTGTGGGACCTGAGGACCTGACGACCTGAGGACCTGGGGGACCTGAGGACCTGAGGACCTGGGGGACCTGAGGACCTGAGGACCTGAGGACCTGGGGGACCTGAGGACCTGAGGACCTGAGGACCTGGGGGACCTGAGGACCTGAGGACCTGAGGACCTGGGGGACCTGAGGACCTGAGGACCTGAGGACCTGGGGGACCTGAGGACCTGAGGACCTGGGGGACCTGAGGACCTGAGGACCTGAGGACCTGAGGACCTGAGGACCTGGGGGACCTGTGGGACCTGAGGACCTGATGACCTGAGGACCTGTGGGACCTGAGGACCTGAGGACCTGAGGACCTGGGGGACCTGGGGACCTGGGGACCTGAGAACCTGAGGACCTGGGGGACCTGAGGACCTGGGGGACCTAAGGATCTGGGGACCTGAGAACCTGAGGACCTGAGGACCTGAGGACCTGGGGGACCTGGGTCTGTGCTCACCCCCCCAAGAGGCTCCAGCTGGGACTATCAACCAGGAACCTGTCTCACCACACCCACCCACGCTCCACCCCATGCCTAGCTCGTCCCCCCAGGGGCCCACATCTCCAGTCTCTGTCTCCTCACACCCTGGGGCCTTGCTTCACTGAGCTCGCTGGCTACGGGGGGTGGAGCCTGCGAGGGAGGCTGCTGGCCATGAGGGACAGTGCTGAGGGGTCCACGTGCCCGCCGTCTCAGCAGCACAGAGGGCGATGGCCCACAGAGGGGAGATGAGGCACTGGCTGCGCCACACCAAGTCCAGCAATGGGTCCAGGCCACGTGCCCAGCACCCTCAAATACGGCCCAGCGTCAGTGGCCGCCAGGTTCCAGGACCCCCGCCGAGGGGCTCACCTCCACGGCCGCTCGGATGTAGGCTTTGGTTTTACTTTCAAGTTTCAGGGCTTCTAATTCACACTCCAGACACTCGATCTCGATCAGCTTCCCGGGGTCCTGGGGGCACCAAGAGGTTTGCACTGGGAGAAGCAGACGTGACTTCGAGGGGCTCCAGGACTCGGTGGCGAGCGGCAACCACACAGGGACGTTGCACGGCACACCGAGCACGATTTCAAGACAACAAAACTCCGCTCCACCCTTTCAGCGGATGGGTGAAGCTCGTCCATTTTAGCAGACTTTGGGTTTTCCAGTAACGAAGCCGATTTCGGACAACTTCCTCGTGTAAGCTCAGCAAATGATTTATCTAAGCCCTGCCTGGCATCTGGACACAAAGCTGCTCAGAGGCCAAGGCCGCGGCTGAGCAGCTCCAGGAGCTGAGCTCGGGCCCAGGCCAGTCAGGGAGCTGCCTGCAGTGTGGTTCCCCTCCCCGGGCCCCTCCAGTCCCAGTGTGGGGAGCACTGGGAGGTGGGCTCCGGTTTTCACAAGGCAACAGGCAGGGTCCCAGGCTTCGCCCAGCTCAGGGGTCTTCTCTGAGCCCCTCACTCAGCATTTCTGAGTCGGACCAGTGCTCCTCGGGCGTACCCACTGCTCTGACACAGCTTTCTTTTTCCTTCCTTCCTTCCTTCCTTCTTTCCTTCCTTCCTTCTTTCCTTCCTTCCTCCCTCCCTCCCTCTCTCCCTCCCTCCCTTCCTTTCTTTCCAGGTAGAGTTAGACAGTGAGAGACAGAGACAGAGAGAAAGGTCTTCCTTCCATTGGTTCACCCCCAAAATGGCTGCTACAGCCAGCGCGCTGTGCCGATCCGAAGCCAGGAGCCAGGTGCTTCTCCTGGTCTCCCATGTGGGTGCAGGGCCACCCTCCACTGCACTCCCGGGCCACAGCAGAGAGCTGGCCTGGAAGAGGAGCAACTGGGACAGAATCCGGTGCCCCGACCAGGACTAGAACCCGGTGTGCCGGCACCGCAGGTGGAGGATTAGCCTAGTGAGCCGCGGCGCCAGCCTCTGACACGGCTTTCATCCTGCTCAAAACAACGCCCAATTGGCATCTGCACGTTTTCTTTGACTCGTGGGTCATTCAGAGACGTGGTTGTTCACCAATATTTGGCTTTTTTTAGGATCTGCTGTTGATTTAGATTTAACTGCACCCTGGGCAGCAAGCACTGGACCTCTGTCCACGTCACGACGCCACGTCACGATACCCATGTCATGACACCCGTCACAATGCCCACATCACGACGCCCACGTCACAACACGCTGCTGTAGAGCTGCCTACAGAGCTCTTCGCTAAGGAACCAGCGTGCAAACAGCAAGTGCCCACACCGTGCTTACGAAAACGTGAGAATACAGCATGTGCAGCTCACAGGGACGAGGGCTCTAACAGGCATGGCGACAGGTGACGAGGGCTGAGTCGTGCATCACCCAGCCTCTGCAATCGAGTTACAAAATCAAACTGAATAAGACCCAGTACCAACGGGGTCACACAGATCCCACCGTGAGACAGCACCTGGGGCGGGAGCTGCTTCCAACAGGAGCTCATGGGGGGGACACGGAGGGCAGGCTGCTGGGCAGAGCGCCCAGGCGAGGCCCAGACCCACAGCACACGGCCGGCTCCTCCGCGGAGCCCGGCACCACAGCCGTGCCCAGGCAGGCCCAGGCAGGCTGGCGTGGCCCCCAGTGAGCCCTCCCCTCACCTCCTCAGCCGTGTTCAGAGCTGAGCTCGGGGCGCTGGACACAAAGCACCAAGCCCAGCACCGGCCCTGGTGACGGCCACACCAGGGAGCCCAGCACTGCTCTCCAGCGCGCAGCCGCGGGCAGGAGCGAAGCCGCGGGCCGTGCGCGTCTGCAACGCCAGGCCAGGGTTCCCAGCAACTTCACGTGCGTGAACGCATTCTGGGAAGAATCCCAACTACGAAAACAGCTTTAGCACGCGTGCGCGCTGCAGCCCTGCCTGGAAGCGGCAGGGATCACCCATCTTCAACGTCTAGTGACAGAGGCCTGGGGGAGGGGCCGGGGGTCTGTGACATGCTGTGGGGGCCGGCAGAGACAGTGGTGTCACCAGGGACCGGTGCCCGTGACACAGGGACAGAGAGAGCAGACACAGAACTGCACGGCACAGGAAGCCGGGCCGGGCGCGGCCCCGGTACCCGCTCACCCTGCCCTCGCCTTCCACACCCACATGCACAGGTGCATCCGCTGTGTCCCTGGCCCGCCCCGCCCCCGGGTCACCTACTTGGATGTCCATCTTTTTCAGGTCCGAGAGGCAGTCCGCAGAGACCTCCTGGGACTTCAGGGTCAAGGACAGACGGGCCAGCTCGCAGAGCAGCAGCACCCTGGAGGGGCGGACGACAGTGACGGCTTAGCGGGGCCTTAGCTCAGCCGGAGGTAGAGGCCCGCACAAACCCGGAGAAAGTCGCAAGATGGAATCAGCTACAAATCAGAAACCCCACGGGGCCAGGACGCAGGCACGCGGGGGAGCCGCAGAGCGGGGCCCCCTCTCCACAGGCCTCTGGTCGGGCAGACCCCAGGACAGGCACCAGGGCAGTGCCATGGGCAGCCACAGGGAAAGGTGTCCCTGGCAGAGCCGGCTCCTCCTGCCACGCACACGCGGAGGCGCCACACCCGAGGTCGCTGCTGAAATGCAGAGGGAGACGCTAAAATCTACACCAAAGCAAATGCAAGGGACCTGCAGAGGCCACACCAGCTCGGAAAGGAACCAAGCTGGTGCTGAGGATTCGCACTAAGCTCAGGAGTAGGGGAGCTGCTGCCCACTGTGTGCAGGAGCCCCTCCTGCCACGGACGCCACCAGAGGTGCCACATGTGCCCCTGGGCACAGCCAGCACCGCGGTGGCCTCCGGCCTCAGCGTGGTGTCACCTGCTGCCCTCTCCCGGGGGCTGCTCTGGGCAGGAGCCGCTCAGCAGAGGGTCCATCTCGCACGGGAGGAGTGGCTCCAGGGAGAGCAGCGGGGCCCCCTGCCTCCCCCCCGCCGACCTCCTCTCCCGGGGCTCACGCTCTGCACCTCTGGCCTCCGTCTCGCCTGCGCTCCAGCCGCGGGGGCCCGAACTGCCTGGCCACCCCCTCAGCTCCGGGAGAGGGGCTCCGCAACAGGACACATCCCTGGGCGCAGAACTGCACACACTCAAGCCTGGCGCAGAGGTGCCGGCAGGGGCCCACCGAGACCTGGGGAGGCCTCAGGCTCCCGGGCCCAGAGCGGGGCGGCTCTGCCTGGCTGCACACGAGGTAGGGGCTCCCTCGAGGGGGACCACGGCTTCTCTAAGGACCCAGTGCTCCTCGCGAGTAAACCACAGGAGCCGGCACTGCACTCTGTTTCCCTAACCACTGCCCCACACTGCCGGAAACCACAAGTCAGCGTGGAGGCGGAGCCACAGAGATGCTGGGCCTGGGTTGTTTCCGTGATTGTGAGGGGTGGGGGCCTCTCCGGCCACAGTGCAGGAAACATGAGGACGGAGGCTGCGAGAGCAGGGACCGGGCTGCCCCACCCCCGAACTGTGGCGTCCACTCGAGGGCTCCTAGGGAGCCACTGGGGAGGTGGATGTGCACCCGGGACCCAGGACTGGTGGGGAGGAAATGTCGGCCCATGTTATGGTCGAAATAAAACATCACTGTGCATCAAAAAAGTGTGTGTGTGTATATATATATATACACACACACACACACACACATATATATATAAAACCAATCTGTACATACACTGGAGATGAAGGGCTCAAATCTCAAATACAAAAGTTATACAAGGGGCTAGCACTGTGGCGTAGCAGGTAAAGCCGCCGCCTGCAGTGCTGGCATCCCATATGGGCACTGGTTCGAGTTCCGGCTGCTCCACTTCCCATCCAGCTCCCTGCTATGGCCTGGGAAAGCAGTAGAGGATGGCCCCAGTCCTTGGGCCCTGCACTCATGTAGGAGACCCAGAAGAAGCTCCTGGCTCCTGGCTTCAGTTCGGCGCAGCTCTGGCCATTGTGGCCATCTGGGGAGTGAACTGGCAGATGGAAGACCTCTCTTTCTCTCTCTCTCTCTCTCTCTCTCTCTCTCTCTCTCTCTAACTCTACCTTTAAAACAAATAAAACAAATCTTTTTTTAAAAAAAGAATTCCATGGTGCCTGTGTTGTAGTGCAGTGGGTTCAGCTGCTGCCTGTGATGCCAGCACCCCATGTGGGCAGCTGTTCAAATCCTGGCTGCTCCACTTCCAGCTCCTGCTGCTAATGGGCCTGGGAAAGCAGCAGAAGGTGCACCCATGGGAGACCTAGATGGAGCCCCCAGATCCTGGCTCCTGGCTTGCAGCCATGTGGGGAATGAACCAGCAGGTGGAAGATCTCGCTCACTTGCTCTTGAACTCTGCCTTTCAAATAAATAAATCTTTTTCCTTAAAAGAAAGAAAGTCTGTGATGATGTCACACAGCCAGATGACGCTGCACCTGTCAGTCCTGAGGCTGCCGTGACAGTGACTCGGGGAGGCAGAAAGAACCCTCTCAGCAGACGCCCGCCTCCGGTTGAGGGCCTGGCCTCATCCACGGTGGCCTCACCTCAACTTGGACTCAAAGTCGCCACAGGCTCAGACTTGGATATTTCTGGGGAATACAACCTGGCACACAAAACCCCCAACTCAACTTTCAAATGGCAAACCGGAAAACCAAAGCACTAATTACAAGCAAAGGAACAAAACGTTTCACGTGGGGCTGGTGCTGTGGCCAGCGGGCTAAGCTGCCACCTGCGATGCCGGCATCCCATGTGGACAATGGTTCGAGTCCCGGCTGCTCCACTTCCAGTCCAGCTCCCTGCTACGGCCTGGGAAAGCAGTGGAAGATGGGCCAAGTGCTTGGGCCCTGCACCCGCGTGGGAGACCTGGATGAGCTCCTGCCCTGCCTTGGCCTCTGCAACCTTTTGGCGAGTGAACCAGCATGTGGAAGATCTGTCTGTCTCTCCCCCACCCCTCTCTGTAACTGCCTTTCAAAATGGATAAATGAGTGGTGCTCGATGTTTCAGGAGCGGAGAGAAGTTGATAAGGAAATCACTGAGGACCCAAACAGCACATTCTCAGAGGAGGGGGCTCTGTGGGCCCTGACACGGCCAACACAGGCTCACTGGTGGCCAGGGACGTGGACACTGAAGCCAGATGAGACAGCTCCACCAGTCGGAGGCCACCAAGCAGGGCGATGCTCCTGACACGGCGGGCAGCCTCGGGCCCAGGCCCTGCTCCGGCGACCCAGCCAGGGCAAAGCCAGAGCTCTGGCCGGGCTCGGCAGACTCAGGAAAGTGCAAGACCGCAGCGAGGAGCTGGAGACCTCCACAGGGGCTCGCCCTCGCGTGGAACGGAACGCCACGGGGCTGTGCCCACGAGTGCCGAGACGCTGTGGCGCTTCACAAGGCACCCCGTGAGGCCACACGATCCAGGACACACCCTGGGCAGAAAAGACTGGAGGGAAGCAGACAAAGGCCAGCGAGGACTGCCTGGAGGAGGAGGACCTCCACTCACGGATTCTCCTGGTTTCTTACACAATTCCGTACTGAACAGTTTTGTGCAGTAAGAACGCAGACGTACGACGGGAGGCGCACGCTTACTTCTCTTCTCTGACGGAAGGGAAGCGCTGGTGATTGTAGTAACAGAGGTGTCTGTGCGCTGTCTTCAGGATCTTGTTCACATCTTCCGGTAAGTCGTTTTTATCCAGTTTTCTAGAATTAATTCAAACACCAGATAGCCACAATATCCTGTCGTGCTCATCACGTTACACTCAGAGAACCCGAATCTCTAAATGTATGTTTCCACTGAACAAAAGCAAAAAATAGTCACGGCCTCTCCCCTCCAGATGTCCCTACCACGGTCTCCTCTTCAACCCCCTGACTCACGCTGAAGTCTTCTCCTCTCACACCCGCGACAAGGACGCTCACAGGACGTCGTGCACAGGCCCTGAGGCCAGAGCCAGGAACTCGGCTCCAGGGACTGCAGGGGAGCGCCTGGCCGCCACACTGCTGTGGAGCCGGCTCAGAGCTCGGAGCTCACAGGAACAGCCCCTCTGCCTCCAACACTCTGGTCTCCTCACCACCCCCACACGCTGTGACCCCTCACCCCTCACGTCACATGTTGTAACCTCTCACCTCTCATGCTGTGACCCCTCACCCCTCACCTCACACACCGTGACCCCTCACCCCCACAAGCCCTACCCTGTCATCCTCAGACTCACTGGGGTCCCCACCACCCTATTCCCTCTTAGTGCCACGGCCACGTCTCTGCTGCCTGTACCGCAAACCTCCCAAAGGAGCCCCGTCCACCCTGGGTCAATCCCCTCCCCACCCTCTCCAACCCATTTCCCTGGGGTTTTACCCACAAAGGTCCCTTGTTTTGCTGCACCCACGGGCCCATTGGAGCCTCGCCTGGTGGGCGCCCTTCCCGCCCCTCAGAGCCTCTCTCCACCGGCCATGTGCAGGCCTCACTGGCCTCTCCTGGTGAGGCCGGGGGAGGCAGCGCCTGCTCCCCGGCTCCCCGGCGCCCACCCCCTCGGTGTCTCATCCACTCATTGGCACGGGGCGGGGAGGATTGAGTCCTTCACACTCAGACTTGGGAAAACCAACATTTTCCCCCCAAATTACTTACGCTTTTAGCGTGCTGATGTGGTAAGAGACTGACAAGCTAATGGAGTTTTTCTTTTCTTCCTGTAGCTGAAGCTCATCCATCAGTTCATGCCGCACCTGTCACATACGTGAACCCATCACGCACCTGTCACTGGCGCAGCGATGGCCAGTCAGGACACACCTGCCGCCCTCGGGACACAGACAAGGCGCTCTGGCTGGAGGCGGATCTCTGTGCCGACACGGACGCCCGTGCACGTTCCTCCTACAGCTGTCTGCGCGCAACACGAGTCTTCTCGTGCGCTCTTCTATTTAATTCCGCAGCTAGAAGCGATCCACTGCGTCTGAGAGCGAACGGCTGAAGAATGTTTAGTGCACATCCTTGCCGTGACTGTGTATTACAGACGTTCCAGCGCTGAAGGCGCGACGCCATTGCAAGAGAAACACTCGAAGAGTAAAGACGAAGGCAGAAGATCTCGCTTTGTCTTCAAGCTACGTGTGTTTCCACATGCGCTACATATATGTGCATCTCCATGCCCGTGTGTTCTCATATGTGTGTTCTCATATGTGTGTTTACGTAGGTGTTACATTTGTGTGCGTTAACACGTGTGTGCTTGCATGTGCACACGTTACGTGCGTGTGTTTATGCAGGTGCTCTTGTGGCTCCTTCCATCTTGCTGGCGCCTTCCCGCTCCCGTGTGTGTGCCTCTGCCTCCCAGCCTGGCTGCCGCCCTGCCAGCCTCCTCGCGAGGACCCCAGGGCAGCTGCTTCTCCGCGGGCTGCTCGCGTCACTCACCATGGCGGAGTACAGCTGCCGGTACCTGTGCGGCACGTGGGCTTTGACGAACGGCGCTGCTGTGGCGCAGAACCTGGCGGCCTCCTCCTTCCTCCCAGCCTCCAGGTAGCACTCGAGGAGCTCCCTGGACAACGTGGCGACAGCCAGAGTGAAGCCCGGGAACTGGTTTCCGCTCAACTACGTAACGGCCGGGTCTTACACTGATTTTAGGTTTTTGCATCCCACAGACTTCAGGACGACGGCCTGGGATCGGCAGCCTAAGCTGCAGCCAGGTCTGGGGTCGCCAGGAAGGGCCCGCGGGAGCCAGGAGCGCTCCGCTACCCTAGCAACAGGAAAGGGAGTTATGGGCTTGCTAACTACACAGGAGACTTTGGAATGGCATTTTAAAGATCTTACTTATAGTCTGTTCTCTTTAGAAGGCTCCCCACATGGCCACCAGGCAGGCGCCCAAAGCCCGCGTGCCGCGCTCTCTCTGGCTGAGCGTGGGTCCCCTGGCGCTGGCACCATCAGGAGCCTCACTGTCCGAGCCCGTCGGGTCCTCTCTCTCCTCACCTGGACACTTGCTGCGCGAGTCGCTGTGACTCTCAGGGCCTGGGACCCGGCCTCTGCACCACCCTGGGCCCCACAGGGGCCACCTGGGCACAGCTGCACGTGCGTGCCCATTCGGGCTTAGGCTCATGACGCTAAAACGCCTACTGCGTTACAAATTTCCCAAACTGAGATGTCAAAGCACAAGCCAGGAAAAGTGACACAGGATCCGCGTCCTGTGTGCCACCCCAGCGGCAGACGTTCGCACAGATACCGGCTGTGCTCCCGTGGGGTGGGGGAGGCGCTCCCGGACCCCGGCCCCACTCACAGCATCAGCTCCGCACGCCAGTCCTTGTCTTCTTCCTCGGTTTGGTTCAGCACAGTTACGATCTGGTAGAGGCTGGGGATCACGTGGTGGTGGTACCCCGGCTTGAGAAACGGCCTCACCATTTGCCAGTAGAGGACGGAAGCGTTATACACCAGGAAGTAGTACCTGCAGGAGGGAGTGTGCACTGCCGCGCCGCCGCCAGCAGATGGCAGCAGCCACACTGAGACCCAGGGTCACAGAGCCATTTCCCGGACAGCCTGGGCAGCTCTGCTCTGAACGCCCAGGCTTCACTGTCCTGGCCAGCCCCGGGGCCAGGGCTCTCCTCAGTCTGTCCACCCAAAACCCGCCAGCCCCGTGAACACACAGCAGTGAGCAAGGCCTCCTTCGGCTCTCAAGGGACAGACCAGAAGGGGCGAGGATGGGGGAGCAGGCGACGACCTGCTGAAAGATGACCTGAAAGATGACCCGGGCATTCTGGGAGCAAAGCTGGCACAGCCTGTGACGTGGGGCAGGGGAGGGGGCTGGCGGAGGACCCTCCCGGGAGGTCCGGTCTCCTGCAGACACAGGCACCCGCCTGCTTCCTCACAGGGGTGGGGCAGCTCTGCCCCCAGGGCCCAAGACAAGGTGGCTCCTCAGAGCCCCAGGCAGCTGGGACAGGCCCCACCTTCCTCCCAGCTTCTCAGGGAAAGGAGGGGACAATGCCATGGCTACTGTCACCTGCTCCCGCAGGGACTCAGGGGACAGCACCAAGCCCGGCCAGGCAGCTCCCCTCCCCCGACTCCAGCTCCCACCCTTTTCTGCTCACTGCAACCAGGGGTCTCTTCCTACAGGGGCCTGTGACCAGGCGCCCGGGCGCCGGTCAGCCCTGGGGACACAGCTGCCTTGGGAAGCACACGCTGTTCTGAGAGCCCCTGAGCTGGGGCCTCGCTGGCTCTGTTGCGGGGGGGGGGGCATGGGCTGGGCCCCGGATCCCCAGAACCTGCAGGACACAGGCCGGAGAACGCCAGGCACACACGGGGGTGCTGGTGGAGGCCGAGGGGCGCGCGAGGCACCCCCTGCAGGAGCCCCACAAAGCAGGTGGCTGTGGCCCGGGGGACCCCTCCCCCACCCCAGGAACCCCTCAAAGCAAGACGCTGGGCGGAGAGGATGGGACGGAGGGGCCCTGGCGCGGGTCACGGGGGAGGTCCGTCAGGGCGGAGGCATCTACAAGTCACAGCACAAAGCTGCCAAGCGCAGACCTGGAGCCCTGGGGCAATCTGGTCGGCGCACAGCTGCGTTCCCCAGGACAAGGAACATTCCAGAACACTGAAATTAAGGGGGCGACCCCCCCGTCCACTCGGCCACACAGCCAGCCGGAAGCAGCAGGCTGGGCCCGGCCTACCTGGGCTCCCCCTTTGCAAAGTTGATGGCCTTCATGTACTGGGTCACGCAGTTCTCAAATTCCTCCTAAGACACAGAGAGATCGCACGATGCACGGAGGTGCCACGGAACCTGAGACCTCAGCCACGTGCTCCACGGACGCGGGCCTCTCTGGCTTAGCCAAGGGCCCGGGTTCCTGCCGGCTTGTCGGCCAGAGGGCAGCGAGCCACACTCACCAGGTTGTCGGAGGACTTGGGGGCGCACAGCTGGGCCCTGCACAGGTGCGCCCGGCCCAGGAACTGGGTGACCGGCCCTTTCACCTTGAAGTACATCTGGATGCAGTCCTGGCTGACCTCGGGCTCGCCCATCTGCAAAACGCCACCACCGTGACCACGCCAAGGGGCCCCTCAAAGGCCCCCGGCCAGGCCCCGCCCCACAGCCCAGGCCCCGCCCCCTCACCTTGAGGGCCTGCTCGGCGCACAGGACAAACAGGTCTGGGCTGAAGCTCTCCGAGGGGTCCAGCTCCGACTTGCCGCGGTTGGCAGACTTGATCAGCTCGTAGGCTCTCTGCAGAGAGGCCACATCTGCGGGGCAGGCGGCGGGTGAGGACCTCGGGGCCGCTACACACCCCAACTTCCCAGGCGCTCAAGCGTCGAGGCCTGAGACCTCACACTGGACCTCGAGGGGTCGCCGAACCTGAGCTTCCTCTGGGGCGAGGGGTCTTCCCGGAGGCAGGGGTCGTGGGTGCTGGGCCCTCTTTAGTGGATGTGGGCAGGGGTCCCGGGGCCTCGTGGGGGGAGGGGGCAGAGCGAGTTTCTGGGTTGTCCCCGTGGACAGTAATCGTGGAGTCCCGGGGTCTCCCAGGAGCGGGGCCCCGGGCCCACCTTGCTGGCTCTCGGCGCGGGCCAGCTCCTGCGTGATAACCAGGTCCATGGCGCTGGCGCCCAGTCCGTCGGTTTGTGGCAGCCGCGGACCTGTGGCGGTTGCCTAGCGACCGGAGGGACGCGGGGCGCGCGCGCGCGCGCCCGCGGACTACGGGTGGGCGGTGTGGCCACACTTGTGAGGGGCGAGGCCGGGCGACGGACGGGCGGAGGCGGGGGGCGGGGGCTGCAGTGCCGGCGCCCCCAGGGCTCAACGCCAGGACTTGGCCGCGGGGCCCCGGACCTTGGGTTCGCGAGGAGGGGCTGGGCGGGCCAGAGTGAGCAAGGTGCCCGCAGGTGGCGCCCAGGGCGTTGGTGGACAGTGGCAGTCAGGCGGCCCGGGGAAGGCGGGCCGTAGGTGACAGCGGGCTCCTGGAGCTGGGGTTCGTGGGGCAGGGCCACAGGGCCCGCAAGTGCCTCGAGGGGCAGGGAGGAGCGGTGGGCAGGGCGGGTGCAGGCCGGGCCCAGGGTTCTGCCAGGCGGGCCCTGGGTGCCGAGGAGGGGCCGCGGGGTTGCTCTGGGCACCATGGGGGGGCTGTGACCCGAAGGGAGAGGGCTGGGGCGAGACGGGCCTGGGCCCCAGGCCAGGAGGCTCCCTGAGAGCGCCCATCCTGCTCTCCCACAAGGCATTTGGAATCCCCAGCTGGAAAGAGAAGCCCTCACGGTGCCCCTGACGCCAACCCTGTACGGTCCTGTCTGGACACCTGCCGGCGTGCTGTAGGTCTTGGGTTCTGGCGCCGCCTGGAGTTTGCTCAGGCTCCGGCCCACAGGTTTCCCCCTGCACTTGCCAGTCACCCGGAGTGGCCCCAGGTTACCCCCACTTCTGTGCCTCTCCCCAGGGCCAGAAATTTTCTGGGACGGCTTGCAAAGCTTGGGGAGACGCCTGCCAATGCCCAGGTGCCAGTGGGGACCAGCAGTTGGTGCAGAGAGGACCTGTGGGCAGGAGCTTCTGTGCCCGGAAGTCCGGCCGCACCAGCCCCTGGCACAGGCTGCGTCAGACACAGGCTTCACCACGCACCTCCGCTGATGACACCCCAGCTCCAGGTCCTCGCCCCTGGGGGTGCTGGGGCGGGGCGAGAGCTCCCGCTTGGGCTCCTGACTCCGTCTTTCTGGAACCAGCCCCACTTGGAAAGCGGCTCCTGCCCTCCGAGGAATTCCAGGGGGTGGGAGCTGCGTCAGGAGCCAGGTCGGAGACCCACAGGCCCGCTTCTCACCGTGCCACGCCAACCTGCCACACAGAGGGGCTCCCGGGCGCAGGCTCCTGGTGCCAGAACCCAAGATCTACAGCACGCCGGCAGGTGTCCAGGAGCCAGCACTGCGCGTGCCTGCAGGGCCGGGGCTGTGCGCGCGTGTGCTCAATGTGATGCGAGTGTGCATACACGTGGCCGGGGAGCAAGGGACAACATCTCTTACCCGCGACCTCACTGCCACTGCGCAGGGCCAGGCCCGGGACTCAGCAGGGAAGGAGGGGGCTGGAGGGAGGGGGCGGGACCAAGACCACACAGCTAAGTGCGGAGTCCAGGGAAGGGGGTACTGTGGGGGGGGGAGGGGTGGCGGGACCAAGGCCGCGCGGCCCTGGCGCTGTCGGGAGGGTAGCTGGACCCTGGAGAGGAGGCGGCCCGAGGAGGGAGCGACCCTGGCGCGGGGAGCGGGTGGGTCCCTGCAGCTGCCCAGGGCCACGTGAGGGCGGTGTGCCGCCGCCGGCAAGGCCAGGCTTCCCCGCGCCCCGGCGCCCGCACCCGCCCACCGCAGGCCGCGCCTCCCGCGTGTCCCCAGCGCCTCCCTGACCGCCGCTTTCTGTGCCCCGTCGCCCCCACCTCCTCCTCGGCCGTCAGGAAGCCCCGCAGGACCCCCGCTGCCCCAGCCCAGGCCTGGGCGCCTCCGTGTGTGGAGGCAGGACGCCAGAGTGTGGGGGCACTGTGGGGAATACTGAGAAGCTTATTATGTTTCTAGAATTTAGATTTTGCTGGGCGTCCTGTGTATTTGTTTAGTAAAGCTGCAGCCCTTATCCGACGCTGCGCACCCCTCCTCCCTCTGCCGCGGCTCCCTTTGCTTCTCGCGTGGGGGTGAAGCCTCCGTCTGCGATGCCGGCAGCCCGTATGGCCTCTGGTTTGATTCCCGGCCGCTCCACTTGCAATCCAGTTCCCTGCTAATGCACTAGAGAAGCAGCGAGGATGGCCCATGCTTGGGACCCTGACACCCACGTGGGGGACCCGGATGGAGCTCCTGGCTCCTGGCTTTGGCCTGGCCCAGCCCTGGCTGCTGTAGACAACTGGGGAGTGAACCAGCATGGAAGATATCTCTGTCTCTGTAACTCTGCCTTTGAAATAAATCTCGACAAGAAATGGGGGTCCCCGTGCCTGTTTTGCCGCCTGTCCTCCTGTCCGCACCCCCGCTCAAGGGTGACTGTGGCATGCCTGTGTGTCCCTGGGACCAGGGCTGCCCACCCCGCACTGCAGAGCCTGGGGCAGAGGAGTCTGGAGCCGCCCTGCTTGTGTGGCTGCGGAATGGCTGCCGAGCTCTGCCCACTGCAGGCCAGGAGCGCTGTCCCCTGGCCGCACTGCAGCCGTGCCGCAGACCACCTGCAGACTCCGGCAGATGTGTGCTGGGGGCAGGGCGTAACTCACTCGGCGGATGACAGATGTGGTTGACAGATGGCAGGCTGAGGGGTGGGATAATGTGATAGACAAGTGATAGGGTTGACTGATCGATGGCACACAGATAACTAGCTAGGTAGCTCACAGGTACTGTGATAGGGAGGTGTAGATGTGACTGATAGATGACGGGCACGAAAGAGTGATAGCAGATGGATAGATAAGTGACAGGCGTGGCGGATGATGGACTCTGAATCTCCTTCCCAGGCGAGGTCCGGTCCCTGTGGGCCTAAAGGTAAACGGGCAAGTGCTAGGTGAGCAGGATTAAGAGGCACACGCGTTGTACGTGCTGGTTGTGCGTGGAGACCTCCAGTAAAGGAAGTGGTGGGCGGCCTGTGGGCTGGGCTGGAGGCTGCTGTGCTGAGGCAGTGGGGGGGGGGGGCTTGCCACTGCAGACCCCCTGCTGAGGGCCCTGTGCACAGGGAGGCCTTAGCTCCTCTTTCAGATACAGCGGGGGAACCTGGGAGCTGAGCGTTGTAGGTGGGGTGGGGTCTTGCCCCGACCCCGGCCATCTGTGGCCGTCAGATTCTGCAGGGCAGGGCTGAAGGCTCCTGCAGCTCTCGGCTTCTCTCCACAGGTGATGGATCCACTTCTATTTCTAGAACCTTCCTTCCCACCCCAGCCCCCCAGCTGGCCTGGGCCTGCACGCACGGCGGCTCTCGGGGTCCCTCTGTCAGGCTGGCTTGCCAGGTGCCTCCTGCGTCAACGTCTTTCCACACGTTGTTATTTTCTTTGATTCTGCTTATTTTGATTTTTTCTGGCATGTCAATGATGCGACACAGTAGGGCTTACCAGGCTGTGACTGTGTCCCCTAAGAGTCCCCTGAATCCAACAAAACACATGGGGGCTGCTTCTGGGCTCCGGGTGAGGGGGGTAGAGTGGGCTCCCCACCCATGGACACAGTCCTTGAGCAGCTGGGTCCCCGTTTTTGCCAAGTCTGTGCACGCGGGGCCTGTGCACACATGGTCTGTGTACGCAGGGTCTGTGCACACGGGGTCTGTGCACACAGGATCTGTGCACACATGGTCTGTGTACGCAGGGTCTGTGCACGCGGGGCCTGTGCACCCCTGGTCTGTGCACACGGGGTCTGTGCACGCGGGACCTGTGCACACATGGTCTGTGCACACGGGGTCTGTGCACGCAGGGCCTGTGCACACATGGTCTGTGCACACATGGTCTGTGCACACGGGGTCTGTGCACACATGGTCTGTGCACACGGGGTCTGTGCACATGGGGCCTGTGCACACATGGTCTGTGCACACGGGGTCTGTGCACATGGGGTCTGTGCACACGGGGCCTGTGCACACACACATGGTCTGTTTACACGGGGTCTGTGCATACATGGTCTGTTTACACGGGGTCTATGCACACGGGGTCTGTGCATGCAGAGCCTGTGCACACATGATCTGTGCACACGGGGTCTGTGCACACATGATCTGTGCACTCGGGGTCTGTGCACACATGGTCTGTGCACACATGGTCTGTGCACACGGGGTCTGTGCACGCGGGGTCTATGCACGCGGGGTCTGTGCACACATGATCTGTGCACACATGGTCTGTGCACACGGGGTCTATGCTCATGTGGTGGTGGATGCAGCTCTCACCTGCTGGGCCGTCCACATGCTGCACCCCCCCCATGACTGCAGCTACCGTCGGCGTCTGTGTGGACGCTGGATCATCTGGTCCTGTTAGAGAAATGGAATACACAAAACCAAAAGCGTTTCTCCACGGGACTGCGTCCAGAGTGTCGATGTGGAGACGATCAATGCGGTATTTATCTTATTTTCTAAGTTTATTTATTTCAAAGAGAGAATCTTCCATCCTCTGGCTCACTCCCCAGATGCCCAGAGCAGTCAAGGTTGAGCCAGGCCAAAGCCAGGATCTGGCGCTCCACCCGGGTCTCCCACGTGCGTGGCAGGGCCCAGGCGCTCCACCCGGGTCTCCCATGTGGGTGGCAGGGCTCAGGAGCTCCACCCGGGTCTCCCACGTGCGTGGCAGGGCCCAGGCGCTCCACCCGGGTCTCCCACGTGCGTGGCAGGGCCCAGGCGCTCCACCTGGGTCTCCCATGTGGGTGGCAGGGCCCAGGAGCTCCACCCGGGTCTCCCACGTGCGTGGCAGGGCCCAGGCGCTCCACCTGGGTCTCCCATGTGGGTGGCAGGGCCCAGGCGCTCCACCCGGGTCTCCCATGTGCGTGGCAGGGCCCAGGCGCTCCACCCGGGTCTCCCATGTGGGTGGCAGGGTCCAAGCACATGAGCTGCCACCTGCTGCCTCCCAGGCCATTCTCAGGGAACTGGACCAGAAGTGCGGCCAGGGCTCTGGTGTGGGATGTGGGCTCCCTGAGGGCGACTCGGCTGCTGCCTGGCGCCCAGCCCTGGGTGTGCGCTCGGCGGCTCTCTCTCGGGTGCTTCCGTTTGCTTCTGCTTCTAGGGTTTGTGCCTGGGCGTTGATGTGCTCG